GTGACAAAGTGTGTCCTTGTGCTTTGAAAAGGGATCCCAAAAATAACACAATAGAGTATTCTACTATTTCATCATTTTAGATCATATCACTTCTTGAGCGCCAGTGATAGGCCTATTTTACTGCAGTTGACAAATGCTACTTTTGCCTTTTTCATGCATTTTGCATGTTTATTGTTTCCGATACACTGTAATGCATTCTCTTTTATAATAAATCAGACCTTCCTTTGCTAAATCTATCTTGAAGAATGTCTTCAATTACATTGCTTTTTTATAGTTACCATTTTTGATACCACCTGTAGCAGCATATAGGAGCTAATGCAGCCTTAACTCTCAGTGGGAAATAAATGTGTCTATTATTATGAGTGGTAATAAATATCTTCTGCGGTGGTGTGGCTATTACGTATAATGAGAAACAATAGGATTATAAAACCAAGATGATAAAAATACATTTGTCATCCCATGTCTCAGGCATCTTCTTGTCTCGACTACTAGTGATCTCCATCAACAGCAGCATTGCTTCAGTCAGTAGCTCACTGAATACAATGAAACATTTTGCAAACTAATCGCAGGGTAATGCCAAGTTGGAACGGTAACTGTTCATACTGATATTGCAGATTTTCTACAAAAGGTATGTGTGAAAATCTGTCATCATCGCAGGTTGTGGATACGTCGGCGTGAAGAAATGCATGTGATTTAGCATTTATTATGTGTGTGTGTGTGTGTGTGTGTGTGTGTGTGTGTGTGTGTGTGTGTGTGTGTGTGTCAGAGGTTATTTAGGCCATTATCTGTGGTGACAAGTATCTGTAGGAGGGCAGTCGAGTGTGGAGCTGCCGAGAATCACAGTTTGCGTCTGACACTGCAGCAACAATGGCTTTGTCTTGAAGCTCAGAACAGGAAATCAGCTTCAGCTGTTACTGCCTGAGGATATCACACTGAAGTGAGGACTATGTCATGGATACGCATTCTGTCCTTTGTTTTGGGATACAGTAGTGCTACATCTCTTTTCTCAGAACAATTATAGGCCTTGCAGTTTGTTTACTTAAGCTGCTTTTCGACCAAAAGTACCAGGGACTTTTTAGTCTCCACATCTCTTTTCAAGGAACCCAACGGTTCCTTCAGCCCACTGTTGTGTAGGTTTCCACCGTGGTCTAAAGATCTGCGAAGATTAGACAAATTAACCAGCTGACGTAGGCTGTAGGCCTATCCGCCATACAAAGCAATGCACAGGCATCATTATTTGTAACCACTATCCATGAGCAAAATTTATAAATTAACATGTTGGATTGACCATTAAAAACAGCTTTTTTGTATGGGAGTATAATGAAGAGACACGTGATGAAGTTTGAGAGAAAGCAACACAAAAATAAAATCGCAACAGTTTGGAAGGTTATTAAAACATTTCCAGCCGACAAGAGCTGCAGACTAGCTGGCCAGACTCACATCTGTGTCACCTGAGCGTCGGAGGAACATGATGTTTAACGTGTTTTATTACATGCTGTAATAAGCTGTTCCACTTGTTTTGGAGAAGAGGAGACCGGCGAGACTTATTGGTGATTTATTGGTTTGCAAACAACGTCGGAAAAGAGAGAAGCAGTCATAGAAAAACACCAGACATTCTCCAGTTAAAGCCAGTAGCCTCTACTCCCCCATTCAGAATTTCACTGCAAGGCAAGCCCCCCCCCCCTCCCAAAGTACCGGTACTTTGGGAAAGTACAACCCCCCGAGCAGGGACTTTTTGGGGGACAAAATGAAGACCCCAGAACTACATTTAGACCCCAGTCCCTATGGTGGAAACGCAGTGAGTTGCTCCAAAGGTCCCTGGTTCCGGGGTATATTTCATTTGGTCGAAACGCAGCTTTACTCTACATTACTTCACAAAAAGCTTTTTGATCAAATCACTTGACCGAAGGAGGAGGCAAAAGCCACACACTCACTGAGCAAAGTCAGCTTCTATAGATGCTAACTGCCCAGGGGAACATGTCTGTTTCTCCACGCTCTGAGGACAAAGACGACATGCTGAGTTACTACAAGGGCAGGTTGTCAAGCACTGAGGTCCTCTGATAAGACAACAACAAAGCTGGGAACAAGAGGTCAGCTGATTGGAGATGATTCAATGTGTGTGGAGTCATCAGGGGCGCTTACTTCATAACAACTTCAAACAATACACCAGTCTGTGGAATGGAGTAATAATTTTACTCTGTAACAACTTAACCACTGCAGGAAAAGCGGCTCTTATTAGGTTAAATTTCCATCGACCAGCTTGTCAGCTGTGATAAAGGCCTAACAATCAGCAATTTGACATTCCAGTGTTCAAATTAAGAACAGACGGTGTAAAATAGCTCCAAAGAGAAACTGTTAAATTATTTAATATGCCTAGACCTCCTTAAAAGCCAAGACAAAACAGACAAGATGTACCGACAAAGAGCAGCCAAGGTCACAAGCGGAAACTGAAATAGGTAGGAAAATGCTGCGATTTGGCACGAAAGCAATAAAGCCCAGTAAGCAATAAAGATTTGTTACCCTTTTTTAAAATGTGTTTGTTATTTTGCCTGCCCATGTCCGAGTCACACACTGTGTCAGTGAGTGAATAGGACATCTGAAGTGATCTTCACATAAAGTTATTTAACTGCACAATAATTTATATATAAAAAGATACAAAACTGTACAATAACACCAAAGCTCTGAAAACAGGGGGGAAAATGTTGTGCACAGCAGGGCTGGGCGATATGGCAATGCCACAATATACATATTTTATCTAAAATATCATACTGTACATCTCAAATAGTGCAAACACGATGAGCTTGTAGAATATGATGCACTGCTGTAGACTGAACTAGCCAACATTAGGCTATATAAAGTAGTTAAAATTAGCTCAATCTCGAACATCTACTGCAGTAAAATACATCATACACATTAATGCAGCAGTGATATTAACCCAAAAACATAATATATACTTTTACTGTAGTTAGGTTCACAACGCAGAGCCTTTACTTGTAGTGGAGTATTTTCAAAGTGGTGTGGTACTAGTTCTTTTGCTTTAAGTAATGAACCTGAATACTTCTTCCACCCCTGCTTGGCACACCTGTGTGTTTATCGCTATTGAATTATATTACATTTTTTATTGCAATGACATTTTTGGCCATATTACCCAGCCCTACACGTAGAAGCTAACTAGTTTGCTTTTCACCCCCTGGACCAACTCTGCTGTGAAGAGTACAAGATGCCTTAGTAACGCAACTTTAAATGACATAAACAGGGACTTGTAATTAGTTTTCTGTTCTAGCAAACACAACACACAGCCTTTCACCAACTATTATACTGCAACCTGAGCTTATCTACACATTTCATGGCTGACTAAAGTAACAACTACGTGTCAGCAGCAACCAGCAGAAACACTGAAAACTCAAATATGACAACATGGTCTGCTTGCAACTACTAGATAAATTAGATTAAATAGACACAGTCAAAATGATGAGAGAGAATATAAGCGTGAGGGAGATGTACGAAAGTGTCCAAGTCTCATAAAAGCCTTCCAAAACAAATCACATCAAAATCATCAAAGACAGTAGAGGAAGCTGTGAGGGGAAGTGAGAACAGTGACAGTGAGGTGAAACTTGATCAATTTATGACACATGCTCTATGAAACACCCACACACACCAAAACACTGCAGTTTAAATATAGCAATGGTTCAACTTTCTATACATGCAGGTGCACAACCGTGGATCTCAGCGGGACATTAACGTGCATTTTTTGGCTGTAGTACACCAACTTTAAATGTGAACTCAGACAAAACGTCCAGCACCACGTCTCCAACACAGCCCGAGATCCTGTACTTGTTCTCCAATACAATCAATGAATTGCATCATAGATGCTGCCCTTGTTTCATTTGCATCCTTTTATTACTAAAACAGCTTGCTTATTCTGTTGAGCTAATACAGCCTGGATGTGTATTGGTGGATGATGGACCCTCCCTGACCCAGTTACTAAGCTGTCATCCTGCGGAGGGAACAAAGAGGAGCAGCTGTCTGTCTGTCAATAGACTGAATGTGTTTGCAGGACTGACACAAATAAAACAGAGGACTTAACAGCATGAGCTTCTGTCCGAATAAGCACCTGCTTCGGTTCCTCAAGTGATTGCTGATTAGACTGATCACATTGTGGTTGGTCACTTAATCAATTAGTCGGTGGACAGGTTATTTTCATGACTGATTTATCTGTTGATATTTTTTTCCTCTTAATGGACTCTCCCTAGAGCACATAGTCAAATCCTCAAATTGCTTGTTTTACTTCACCAATAGTTCAAAAATATTAAATTTACATTGACACAAAACAAAGAAAAGCAGCAAATACTCATATTCAAGGAGCTCACAGAGCCAGCGATTGGCATTTTAGGCTTGATAAATAGATTAAATTGATAAGTCACTTATCAATAAATTGTTTTCAATAAAATTCCGAACAGCAGATTAATCGACTAACCTAGGATCAAGAAAAAATTACAAACATTCTCTGGTTTCAGATCCACGATTTGAAAATTTGCTTGTCTCTTTTGTAACTTCAAATTGATTATCATTTGGGGTTTTCATTGTTCACCAGACAGAAAAAAAAACTATTTTAAGCCTTCACATTAGGCTCTATGAGGTTATGATGGGCATCTTTCACTTTTGTGACATTTCACTATTCATCTATTGATCAAAAGTTATAAAAATATTCATTAGTGGCACCCCAAGGTCTATGATGCTGATTTATCAGAACTGAAATTGTAATAATTGGTCTTGGAGTCAATATGAAGCGACATAAATATGCACAGAACACACAGCTGTGGAGGACAAAAGATGTTGCCGCAGACGAAACCCTCCACACAATGGGACACAGCTTTGTTGTGGAGATTATCTGATGCAAATGCTCCTGCGATGCGAGGAACAGTGGCACGAAATCCAGATAAAAATCACACAAAACACAGTAGTAGTTTTGAATGGCAGCTGTGGCCTGCTTCATTTACCTGCTGATTCACCAGTGTTGATCCAGTCTGGGTTTGCAATGCTGGCTATTGCAAAGATATCTGCTGCCAGAAACAGGCACCCTGAAATGATCGTTAGTTTATCCATATCTCCAGCTGATGAAGCGGGGAATGACGGGGCGGGGGGGGACGGGACGTGGTGGTCGTTGTCCAAATGTTACCCCCCGAGTGTTGAGAGACACAGGGTGGGCTGTTATCAGTCTAACCTCGCCCCCTTCAACAGGAGCCTGCCGTTGTGGTTCTGCTTTGCATTTTGCAGCAACGTTAGCTCCTTCGCGTCAAGTAAGCGAGAGCCTCCAGCTACAAAAGGCTCAAATACGACGCACAAAAGCATCACATTTCAAATGCCCGTAGGAGTCCAGTGCGGCAAAACAATAGCTCACTCAGCGCCGGGCCACTGAACCACTTGTGTCGTTTCTCGGATCCGTTTAGCAGCAGCAGCAGCCGCAGCAGCAGCAGCATCGGGTACAGCTGCGGCTAGCAGATAGCTAGCGAGCTACTTCCCAGATTCGGGCTTGTTGTGCCGAACTGCGGCCCAGAGGCTGCTCGACGGCCGAGACCGAGACTGCGCTAGCATTTCAGACACAATGTCACACAGATGGATGTGGAGAAAAAAGCACAGCAAGCCCGTCCTTTACTTCGCAGTATCCGTGTTTCTGGCGAAGCTCAAACGTTAGCCGTCGGGAAAACGAGAACCCATCAGCCTCTCTCCCTTATTGGAGCCCGTTGTCCTTCTCTGCTGGCATAGCATCTGGTACTTTCAGCTCGTTAGCCCCCTTCACCACCTCTTCTCCGGACCACGGTGAGGAGGCTGGACCCGGGTATTTAATGCTGCGTATTTAAATCCAGAAGAGACGCTATAGGACCCAATGTGGACGGTGAAAGGTTACGTTATTGTTGTGCTTCCCACCCGTGTGCCCACTGTTAGCTCAGCCTCCCTTTCTGCCAAATGACATCAGGCGAACACCCCCACACAGCGTCGCACACGCGCACACACACAGTTCGGGGGGGGGGGCGTTCACTTCTCGCGATACTACGCAAAACCGGGGTTTGTGTTGTCCTGAGTCGCCCTGTTTTGTGGCAGAGGGTCGGTGAGCGGGGTCGGTGCTACAGGGCTGCGTCTTTAAAGCCTTGCCAGGCACCAGATAAATGAATAATTTATTCGCACTATTTAAGCACAGTGTAAACCAAGATCCTGCACAGTCAGCCAATTTTGAGGCCCTGTGTCACAATAAAATTTGTTATTTTAACATTACAGGCCTCACCTGAACCATATTCTTACAATACAGGTGTGTTTAGTTGAAGTAGAGCTGATAAATTAATTAATCGATTAGTAAATTGACAGAAAAAGTAAACAATTTTGATAATCAGTCAGTCAAGACATTTTTTAAGCAACAACTTCATAAAAAAAATGGGTCACTTCAGAATTTGGCCACCAGTGTACATGGAGACAGAGTAACTCAAATAGTTTGTTTTATACGGGACATACTGTACTTTTTATTCCAATGTAATTGTCTGACAACAAGCCAAAGTGGCAACAAGTCACTCTGCAGATTTATATAGGACATACAAAACACATGATCAGCATTTAAAATATAATGCATTGTTAGGATTAACCCGCAAAATAGTTTGTTAGCTCCACCATGACCAACTTTAACATTTAAATGCTGCTTAATGAATCAGCAATAATAATTATCCAATACTATAACATGTAACCATAATCATGGAGTATTTATTTTGATTCTTTATGTATATTTTGCATGGATAACCACTTCCACAAGCAAAAACAGGGTTGCTTGCCAGATTAAAAGGCAACTTTCAACAGGCTAAATTATGTTTGAGCTTTCGGGTCCCCCTATTGGTTGATCAATAGAACAGTATCTCTAAGTGATAAAAACATCTGCCTGTATCAGCTTTTTTAACCAGCAGATGAACATCATGCTCCTCATACAGCACTACAATAGTAAATCTGGATTTATTCCTACATACAAATTGAAGCAACAACCAGCTGTTATTACTGTCAATACTTTAATTTACATTGATATACAGTTAAATTGACAAAAACAAAAGAACAATTGCATTATGATTCTCTGGCTCCCTTGGTTGATGCTTTCACTTAATGCCGGACAACAAATGATCGTTGACATCAAATGATTTGTTGCAGGAGGATGTGGTTTGAGTTCCTCTTTCCTTTTAAAGCCGCCAGGCACAGCATGCCCAACTTCAATTCACAGCTTTCCTCAATCTCCATTTTCAAACTTCATCCACAAATGGTGTATTCACTAGGCGTCCACTAGCTGCCATGGTCTTCTTGCCATCCACAAATTTCTTTGCAGCCTATAAATAAAGAAAAATGTACTGTTTATGTGGCACATTAGAACTCAAACAGTACACAAGTTAATGTTTCTGCACACACTGACTCACTTGACTTGTTTGTCGAAATGTTGATCATTATCTTGGGTAAAAAATAAATAAAACCCCAGTTTGTAAACAACTTAAAGCTGTATTTTCTTTTTTGTCCACTTGGGGCAGCAGAACAAGATATATGAACACCACTGACATATTTTTGCTATATATAAAGCTGTTATGATAAACAATTATCTATGTACATACTCAGCAGACATGGCCCAACATTAGCATTTGTTTTTTTGGCAATTTGATCAATATAAGTCCAATATTCTCTCTCCTTTTAGCTCTGTTTTGATCGCCTCCATCTCCTAAATAAAATTAACTGTCTTTTAATGCTCCACTATGTGGCTGGCTATTGTGTATCTGCAATTTCATCTTGGGCAGGTAGTGTACAATGTGTTCATCCAAGCTTTTCCCCTAAAAATAGCTGCAGAGAGCACAGGGAAACTGCCGAGTTGGCTGATAATATCTATGGGTTCCTTTTTAATAGCACACATAGTCCTTTCCTACATTGATTAGTACAGCTTTAAGCAAAGAATGGAACTGAAATTAGGCATAGATCACTGGTTATGATAAAGCACCACTAACGTAACGTAAAGGTGTGACAAAAACTGAATGTGTGATGATTTAATACTGACATCCAATATCACCACCTCTACAGCAAAAGCACTCACCTCGACCACATCATCGTGGGTGACAGCATCTATCGCTTGAACAACAGTGTCAGGGGGCTGGTACGCTGCAGTGGTCAGTGCCTGGGCACCGATCTCCTCCAACAAGCTCTCAGAGCTCTCGATTGACATCAGGTACTCTGCTTTCACCTGGTTCCTGCGCAAAGAGGTCAAAATAGACAAAAGTGAAGAAATTATTATAATAAACCATCTTTCAGCACAGCACCTCAAAAAGATCTGCACCACTAACATGTGTGGCTGGCACACAACAGCTGCACCACTATGTCTGACCTTACTCAGTGAACTCACTTTGCTCTGGTGACGTCGGCATCTGATACATTTCCCTCGGCCACACCTTTCACTTGAGCAATAGCAGCTTTGATCACCTAAACAGGACGGCAAACAGGACGAGCTCAGTGAAATTAAATTAAATCTTTGCACATTGCAGATGCAGTTATATTTGTCTTGGAAGGAGTGAATTTGGCAATCACCTGTCCTGCAGAGTCAGCTTGCGCAATGGTATAGACGCCAAACAGGCCAGAGTCAGAGTATGAGGCATTGAAGGCTGTGGCCTGAAAGTCAACCAAAGGTTATCTAACATTAGGGGACAGACTCTCTACATTCATAACTGATGAAACACACAATCCAAAAATAAAAACACAATGCCAAATTACTGTTTCCTTCTTTCCTTTCTTTATAACTTACATCAAATGGCTGAGCAGTAGCTTTGGCAATACCCTGGCTCAGTTTGCTGGTGACGTTAGAACCCCTCTTTACATGTGGCCCAGCTCCCAGGATCCTTTGCAGCACACTGAAGGCATTAGCCTCTGCACTACCTGTCACACCACCCTCGCTGGCAATAAGTGCGTGGACCAGGTCGTCGTTATTCTGCACCCGCAGCTCACCTACACAAACACAATTCCATCATGACAGTAACGCAGCGATAAACCTCAAAGAGCGTAATGTCGCTAGTAAACATGAGTTTTACCTCCACGGTATACAGCCTTAGCCACAGGTGCTCCAGCCCCACTGCGTACACTCAGGAGTCCCTCGCCTACCTGCCTCAGGACAGAGTGTTGTACACCTGGACATATAAATGGAAAATACTGACATTAACGCACAACTGAAGTTGAGCAAAGAGCACCTTCATGAACTAGACAATGCCACACAGAAACTTACATAACCATAAGAGCAAGATGTGTCGTCATTCAGGCATGCCAACACTTGTAGGCAAAGTCAGCCATATGTTCAAAATCCACACATAAATCACCATCACAATAATGGCTGGCGTATTCTTCAAATACCAGTATTCATTTGGTACCTGTGTCTTTGAGCAGAGGCCAAATGCCATTTCAGGGAAGTGTATGCACACATATTCACAGTTTATTGCGATTTGCTATGACTCCAGAGTGCCCACTAACCATTAGTAAAACACAGCCTTGATAAGCAAAGCCTGATGAGAGAGGAGAGCAGCTGACACAGCGATGCAGTTAGACTAGCCAGCACTAGCAGACACTCACCTAGTCCTACAAGAGCCATTCTGCCAGTGGTGAAATTGTCCTCAACAAATGACTGCAGCTACAAGTGGAGGATAAGGAGGAGAAGAGGTGTGTAAGAGCTACGCACAAACTAACAAAGACTGGCCTAACTTCCTTAAGTCATTCTCTTCAAGAAGCCACTAGTCACTAAGACTAAACAATGAACTATTTTCACACAAAATGTGGAGAAATAAAACACACACACACACACACACACACACACACACACATACCTGGTTAGAGGAGATACGACCGACCATGTAGTCAGGGCAGTACAGAGAGTTGGACAGGGCATTTTTGTACGCTGCTTCGTGCAACTTCTCAATTACACCTGCAGAGTATGATAGAACACCCATTTACAGAAAGTATACGCCATTCACAACATTGTTAAATTTCTGTTAAAGTCACAGCAAAACAAAAGTTAGAGTGTCTTTAGCTTGAGTAATGTGACTTATTTCTGTTCACCTCTACCGAACACTCCACACTCACTGGCATTTTTAGAGTAAGTATTACTGTTAATATGAACATTGAATTAAATGAGTGCCTGTAGTGTGCCGATCCCACTGAGAATCAACAATCCACTATTAAGCTAGCTGCAGGTTTTAGCTTAAGCTTTTTTGCATTTCCGCAGAAGTTAAGAGGCCAAACAAGTTATTGCCAGTAAATGATGGACCTACATTTGTCAAATAAGTCCCACAAATGCTCACAAGAATATCCCAATTCACCAATATCAAAGTATATTAAGACGAAGTTCTGTTGTTTGTTTCATCAGTCCTAGAGACCAATCACATTTTTAAACCTGACATGATGCCACATTGACATAATTTCCACAATTAAAATACAGCTGGTCAGGAGTTTAACTGTTGCTTCTGGTGCTAACCTATCTGAGGACATTGCTGAGCCAGAGCCTTGTCTATCTTCAACCTGGACGTCAGGTCCTGAACCTCCCATGGCCGGAACTCCTGAGCTGTGGTCACGTTGACCAAATACTCCATTAAGGAATCTCTGGACACACACAGACACAGTCAAGTTCAAACACTCTGAAACATCAACATGACCTTATGCTGACTTGAAGTAACATGCACACTTTAAAACAACAACTAGACATAAAGATGGCATCACTTACAAGTTATCTCTCAGACAGTCTACGGTGTAGACCATGGTCTCTCTTGATGATGTCACACTGCAGATAAACAGATCACGACACAGTTGGTTCAATGTGGGGGTCTATGGTTACACTGGTATCCTCGCATTTATTTATAGCAGGAAAAGCAGGACTGACCTCAGGCTGCCCCCCAGTGCTTCCACACCGCGACAGATCTTGAAGGCAGACGCACCCTTCGTAGTCTACAAAACAACAATGTTTTAATGACAGTTTGCCAGATTGCATCTTTGTTACGGTAAGCAGCTAAGAGAAGGCACATCGTGTACATAATTAATTTAGCTATTAAACAAACAGTTTTCACAAATCGTTCACAAATTACCAGGTTTGCTGCTAGTCGTAGCACATGAGAGACGCCCTGGTTTTCCACCGGCTCATAGCGACTTCCGGCTTTCACAAACACACCCACACTGGACAGGGGGGAGTAGCTCTCCAGTGATGCTATCACCAGACCGTTTGGAAGCTTGGACACCTGAAACAGCAAAGACAATTGTCAGAGTAAACGAGAAAACTATATGTCACATCAAGTCAGGCTAATAAATATTTTATAGTTTGATTGTAGCAGGAAAAGCTTTTCGCTTGTAGTCGAGAGCAGCACCTACCTGTACATTTTGGGGAGGGAGAGCAGCTGAGGATGTTGTGAGGCCTGCGAGGGGTTCAGTCAGAGCTTCGCTCCTCCTGGCAGCGGCATAGCAACGTTTCTGTGGGAAGTGGTGAGACCAAATTAAAGTCAAGGGACTTCCTTAGCAGCCATTTAACTTTTGCATCCTCTTTGGTGGCAAGCAACTTCCAATATCCTTGACTTAAACCAAACTGCATTTCTGCATGAAAGTAGTGCAGCTTCAACTAATGCAAACAAGAGCTCCATAAATCAGGCTAACATTATATTGGACAAATCTTAACCCCGTAAAGATCAACATGATCTCTACTGTTTCATAATACCTGCTGCGATCTATCCAACTCTGTTAAACTCTGCAGTAAATGAAAGCTTGAGAGTCATAAGATAAATCTGAGGCGTCACCAGATGACCAACAGGATAGGAAAGCACTAAATATTGTTCGTTCTGTTACACAAAATCATGTTTATTTATATTCTGTTCCGTTTAGCCTTGCTTTTTACTTAAAAATAACTGGATAGACCCCTTCAGACCAAGTTATTCACATTTATAAACGACTCTGAAGTTGATAAGGTTTGACAGTTTTACTTGTAAATAACTCAAAACTAAAATAATGATTATTTAATTTAAGGTTAACTAATGTTTATGCATTACATGGTCATTTCCATGTATGGCAGACACTGACAACATTAAATATGGGAGAGTGGAGCAGTGGCTGTACTGAAATGACCCGTTCCACATTAGTACAAACACACTGTGTGCTGGTGATACTGTGACATGTATGAGTAGGATACAAGGATGTCAGCAAAATTGAGGTTGTTGGGTTATTGTTCGCTGCGAGACACCTCGATCAACAGGATTGGGATACACGAGCTCGGGGATGACCTTCAGATTGAATCCAGCTGAGCAAAATAACCACAACAAGCGGCAACGCTGACCCGAACCAACTGGATAATTTACTTCACTGGTGCACCGCATTATAATTCAGTCCGTGTGAATGATTCAGGGAGATGGGGCTGTTTAACTCGCCTGTAAAACCCATCCAAACAAGCCTTACGTTAGATTAACCTGCATTAGCGAGCCACCTAGCAAGCTAACTAGCCCGCAGGCTAACAGCTAAATGCGGTTAAACTTCTCAAGCAGACCCGGAACCACAGTGAGCAGAGCTTAGGGCATGTCGGTCACACGGGTTAGACCAAACCGACAAAACTACACAACTCACGGGAAGATAATTCAGAGACCGGATTCCTCTCATGACTCCAGACCAGACTCTCTCCTTCAGCCGGTACAGAAAGATAGATATGGCGGCGGGCTGACGTCTTACCCACAATCCCCTGCACCGTGCAGCCGATCAAAGACGATTTAAGATGTCAAGATAAACTTAAATGACTGGAGCAGATTAAAAGTTGTTTTATACAGTCTATGGTTAAAAGTTATCAAACAATTTAGTATGTGGTCGACACTTTCACAGCAAACTAAAACTGGATTTTACCTAACCATGTTTGTTTATTACGACAGCCCCTCACTGCAGAGAAAAGAAAAAAAAAAAAAATACATGATAGGAATGTTGATGCACTATATGATCATTTCCATATTTGGCATGTCAAACAGCAGACACTGACAACCTAAATAAAGGAGAGTTGGGCGGTGGGTGTACTGAAATGACCCCTTAACTTCAGTACGTTCAAGTTCAGTTACATGTATATAAACACCAAGGTGTTTTTAGGTTATTTTGTGTGTGTGTTTGTATTCACACACTCACATGTACAAAAGTTAAAAAAATCTTTATTAGAATCCAACTCTATTTAAATTCACTAAACATAATGATGCACACTACATTACAAAAAAAATACTCAACAAATTACAGTTAGTAAAGACAATGATTTAGCCCATAGAAAATCTTTTGAGAGAGTGAAATGTGTACCATCTTTAAAAAGATCTCTCACAGCCAGACACACCCCAATAAATACATCTCACAATGATACAAAAATACACTATGTTGGCTCAGATTTGAGGTGCTTGGACATTAAAACAGTACCCTAAACATGTTCACATCATGCAGAGAGTGAGTTTAGACTGCAGGCTGAGTCACCGTTCAGTCAGTCCATCACTTGAGATTCATGTACCACGTTTTCTTTATCACCACACGGAAAAGGAGGCACCCAAGTGAGTGAGACCCATCCCACAAGCAGTCACCGATTAAAAAGAAAAAAAAACAAACAGCAGGCCACCAGTAACAGTGTTGTGCCAAATCCAGGCATCTCTTCTCAGTTTGCTGTTCTCCGCAGCTCTGAGCTTTTGCAGTGCATGGCCTCCCAATGAAGGATGCAAATATTAACCACTAAAAAAGATTTCCTCCTCGCTCAGTTGTCATTTGTCGTACAGGAACAGCTGCCAATGTGGATGTCTTTCCTTAAGCTGGAGAGACACACAGCTGTGCCAGATCCGTCTGGTGGGCATCTTCCCAACGATCTCCCATGTGTCAGTCTCATCACGGTACCGCTCAATAATGTCCTGTCGTCTGCACATAAATGGTAAGAGGCATTAAGCAGTTACAATTTCAACAGTTTGCTGTAAATGTGTCTGTCCAGTTTTTTTTGTGGTTGTTTGTTTTAAACAGGTACTAAACAAGGAGCTCTTTTGCACAATTATTTTTTTTGTTTCCACTGCATCTAAACACCTTTTACATTATTAGAGTTCACGTGTTTCTATGTTCATGCTTTGCACCTGCTGTTGCATGACTGACGTTTGAATGGATGCAAAGGACAGTGTGTTATTTATTCCTGCTTAATTAGGCTATGTAAATGCACTGAGTCAAAAAGTATATAAAAGTTTGTTTCTCTTCTTTACTCACCAATTCTCTTTCTATCACCACCTGTGATTTGCTCATTTGTTTGCACTCCCCCCGCTATTAGGTTCACCAGAACGAGACGAAAATATCCTTAAACAGTGTTTTAAGATATTCCTGCATTCTGGTGAAAGTTTCTGCACCAATTTATGGTGGAAATCTTTTTTTTTTTTAAGCAAACAAAATTCAGGTAGCACGTGACATTTCAAAATATATAATAGACTATAGTGCAGTGAGGCTCTCAGGCATTCTGTGTTGCCTTCAGGGCTGTTTCTCCTGTAGATCAACTTTTCTCATGTAATATCATCCCTGCTGAGGCAACACATATGTCGGCATGAGTTAGTCTTCCCTGCTCTTTTGTAATGTTCAAACGGAGAGAACGGAGCCAAAAAAATAAATAAGTAGTGTCCAGAAGTTGTTAAAGTTACTGACTGATGCTCGCACATTTTTGATTCATTGTATAGTCAGTAGCTTGTTTTTGTTTTATGCTTAAGTTACTTTTTTTTGGTAATGCACATTTGTTCCTTCTATTTTTTTAATTGCATTGTATGTTTTCTTAATGTGCAAATAAATCTTTCTAATGGCATTTTCATTTTTTATTTCACTGTAAGCTATATTTCAGAACTTTTTAAAAATAAAAATATTCTTAAAAAAATTGGTGGAAACAAATCAGCCATTTCAAAAAAGGGTGGGGACATGTCACCATGCATAAATTACACCTATGTCTTACTCTATAGTGAATAGTTGGTAAATCGACTACACATCATTTTGTTTTTAAAGTCGTTACGAGAAATGTCTGCCTCATCCTATTCATACACTCAGTCATTGCTGTTGTATGTGAGTTGTGTGCACGATTTCAGTTTCAACAATTGGCGACTTAATTATCTGCAAAACTCAATGGTACCCTAGATAATTCAATCGTGAAGCAATAGCCGCAGACCAGGGACATTTAGGGGGCTCTATGGCAGAGGAACTAAATAAAGTTTATAAAATGGTTCCCGGGCTCCTGCAAAAGTTTCTGCTGTGATTTAATTAAATTAGATTCACAACTATACTAAATTTCCCCAGAATAGCCCCTCACGCCATCTCGTCACGGAGTTCTCCTCCCCGGACATAGATCTTTCCATCCACCACAGCAGCACTGAACCAGTAGTGTTTTTTCATGGGGGTGCACATGGTCCACTGGTCAGTCTTGGGATTGTAAGACTCCATATCTGAATTTCCCGTTAAGAAATTCCATCCACCTGGAAAACCGAACAAGAGTTAACGGTCAATGTAATTATCTTGCTTGATGTCATTGAGAGTAGCTGCTGCGTATGTTGCTGTAAAAAACCTTCTGAGTTTCCCCTTGTGGGATTAAAAAAGTATGTTGATGAGTGAGCAAATGTGCTGTGATCTGAGTGCTATTAAAATTATGTCATACCTATAACGTAAAGCTTTCCTTTGAGTGTACAAGCTGCTGAACAATGGCGAATGATCTGCATGGGGGCAATCTCTGTCCATGCAGAGGATTTAGGGTTGTACACTTGAGAGAGGTCTGCGCCTACGCCATTCTCCACTTCTCCCCCTACCAGGACACAGAGTGGATACACAAGAAAAATTCATTTAAAAAATACTGTGAATCCAAAACCTTTATAAAAAACCTCAAGAAAAAACTGCATATTTTTCCTACCAGTAACATAGAGCAGTCCGTCCAGGGCCACCACAGCAGGACTTGCGACAGCCAACTTGACAGATTCGATGACCTGCCAGGAGTTGGTTTGAGGGTCGAAGCGCTCCACAAAGTTCACGCATGTGTTTAACAGTTGACTCCACCCTCCCACTGCATACACAAAGCCGTCCAGCATTGCCAGGCCTAAGACAGATTATGTAAAAAAAAAAAAATTCTCTGCCCCCCGCTTATGGAAAGCCCCATGTGGGGCATTACTTCTTGCAGTATACATTATAAAAAATAAATTTGTTACCAAAAAATGAGGAATTCATTCAAATTAGCTTTATTGGTATGAATGTATAACAACAATATTGCCAATACTTTGAATGCCTCACCTAACGAAGAACGAGCCATATTCATGGGAGCCATCTTGATCCAGGAGTCACAGCAGGAGTCATAGCGCCACATCTCACTGCTCTGTGAGCCGTCAGATAACTCTCCTCCTGCCAAATACAGAGTGGAGTCTACAGAGGAGGAAGATTAACAGAAACATGTCACTTGTGATGAGCATCATTATCCAGGAGGGTTTAATCTATAAACTGAATCTCATAAGGTTTCCTCACCCGACACGACCAGCCCGTGTTTGCGCACAGCAAAGGGCAGGCAGGCCAGGTTCTTCCACTGATTCGTCATGGGATTGAAGCTCTCAACGCTGCGCAGCAACCCCGTGTTGTCCTCTCCGCCAACTGTCACTATCACTTCAGCTGTTCCTGTTGCCATGACAACGGCAGTAGATGAACAGAGGTAAGTGAGCCAAGGAGCGACGGCCTTTGGATAGATGCTAATCTAAATTAAAATGGCCCCTGTAGAATAGTGGTGTAGTGTGCGTAGAGGCGCAGCCAACAACTGACAAATCTTTTAAATGCCCATTACAATTTCTGTCTTGTTTTGTCCAAAACCCAAAAGATGTGTGATTTAATATCATAGAAGATCAAGAAGCATTTTTGTTGACTAACAATTAATCGAGTAATAAAATAGTAGCTAAAAGTAGATTTAATTTCTGTGTATTGACTAAATGATTAATTTCAGTTCTATTGATGTGTGAACACCTAACAGAGTATGGTGGAAGAAAAACAAATACCTAACCAGCTTGAATGTGTACTTTATCTAAACAAAGTCCCCAAGACACAAACATCTTTCAAGTTTAACAAAAGAAAACCCACTAGGATGACAGAGGTGGACAAAGGTACAGCCTCTACCTATAATCAAAATGCATGTGCAGGTGAGTGTGTGTACCTGTGGACCTGCGTGGCCTCGCTCTGGGGCAGTAGAGCTCTCCACGGCGGTCCTTTAGCAGCAGGTAGTCCTTGGCCTCAGAGATGAGCCTCTGGCAGCCCTGGTTCTCCTTCACCACATCCAGAGACTCGATCACATCATGGAGGTAGTAGGGGCTGATAAGAGGCAGCCGGATATGCTCAAGGACCTTTGAGGAACAAACGGAAGGAGAGAAATCTGATCAATGTCCACTGTACCTCAACTGTCCCATACAAGTATAATTCAGCAGGAGAATGTGAGACCAATGCAAAAGGTGTCCACAGAGGGATTACCGAACACAGTTCCATGCACCAAATGGGTTCAAGTGACAGTTGTTACCGATGCCCAGGCCCCTCAGTGCATAAACCGAGCGTAACACCTGGGCCCCTTGGTACATACAGTGCATGCTTAAAACAAGAGGCTCTTGGAGAGAACTACTGAGCTGCTGACTGGCACGCTACAGTATGCTATACAACCAAACAGTTGTTTGACCATTTGAAGGGCGTCCCACTACGGCAAGCCATTCATTATTTGACTTGCCATAGCTAAATATTATTTTAGCTAGCTGCGCATCAGAGCCGGCCCGGACTTTGTTGGTGCCCTAGGTGAGATTGATGTGTTTCAACCAAGAGGAGAAGCAAAGACTAATCTGAAAAATACCACAAAAAATACATAAATAATAAAATGAAATCACAGAGGGAGGGGAGAGGGGTCCTTTTACGTTTGAGCCCACAGTCTTCATCTCCCATGATGAATAACTATTTCTTTAAAATTAGGTATCAGCTGATATCGGATCCAATACAAAGGAAGTACAGACGCTTCTGTGAACTCAAGTGAATCTGACCTTTTCAAAGCTCTGTTTGCGAGAGGAACATTTATTCAGCCACAACATGGCCGCCTCAAACACCATCTCCTCTTTAGGCACATTAAGAAAGTCACTGGCAAGGATTTCGGTCAGTTTGTCCACACACAGAGACAGGAACTCCTCCTGGTGGGTGGGGGGAAAAAAGACATAGAAAGAATGAAGAGTACCTGACAACGTACTGAACCTGCTTTCTAAACAGACACACACACACGAGAGATAATCACTTGTAGGACATCAGTTTAACTGCTGACAGGTAGATAGATTATCTTTGTTAAGCCCTTTTCACACATGAAACCCACAACAATGCCAGGTTCAATTATCCTGGTAAGGTACTAGTGGCATATGTGAAGGCAGCATTGTAGTAACTGACATAATTCTCTTTTACATTATCACCTGCCTTTCACTTCCACTGTGATGACACTCAGCAGAACCTCTGGATTTTTTTAGATATAGTGAGTCCTCCTTATGGATTAAACTTTGTTGTTGACAATAGCTAGGCTATTTGTCAACTGTCTCTTTATACTGTGGTATCTGTCTTTGTAATAGTTCTGCTTGTATCAGACCACCTTTTTCTGCTTGTGGACATGTGCCATGTATGACATCTGAGCTGTATGCAGCTTACATTATGGTTTAGGCTGCAGTATGACTTTAACCAAAAAGAAAAAAATCTTAGTGATTTCAGTAGGGTTCCTAGCACAACTGGTACTGGGAGCCACGCTGCTTTGCATATGCCCCCAGCCCCCCTCAGGCTTGGACCCCTACATTTTTGGCTCCATCAGCTCCTCACCTGCTGATAAACACTGCTGAAGTGCTGAAGGATGTAGTCCATGCTGCTGCTCTCCAGCCTGCTACAAGAATGGGCCTCGGCAAAGCAGTGAATCCCCACACAGTTCATCTCATCCATCTGACGCTCCATAAAACGACAACAGGCTTCTCGCACTGCCATCACGTCCAGCAGATTGGCTGCTGCCAGCAGGGCCTGGACCGACACAAGTAGTTTTCAGCACAGATGCTCTTTAGGGAAGTGGGTGGGACAGCGCAGAAGAAGAAAAGGTGAGAGCGGACGCTTTACCTGCACATTTGCTTTAGAGATGTAGACCTCTGATGTGTAGGCGTAGCTCACCAGCATGCCAATCATCTGAGGTTCAACTCCGTTGATGGCAACTCTCTCCTGTTTGGACTCTATCAGGTCAGTGGAAAACATCGCCTGGGGAGATGAAAGCAGGAAAACACTCACAGCTGTTTACAGGATTCCCTGGCCTATGAACATGGACCTCCTTGTGCCTGTCACATAAGGTTTACCTGGAAGTAAGAGCTGAAGGAGGCAAGCACAATGCGATGGCAGGGGAACTCCTGTCCTCCACAGCACAGAGTCACATCACAGAAGGCATTGTTGAGCCGCAGGCTGTTGAGGCCCTGCAGGACAGTGTTGGGGTGCCTGGTCTCCACAAACAGGTAGTCGTCGTTCAGAGAGGCTGGAAGAGTGGACGGCGAGGGCAAACCTGGGTTGACGGCAATTATTTCAGCCATATCTCACTTTGCTAGGCAAGTCCGGGAGGGAGGTGAGTGGAGCCAAAACAAACAAGATAATGTTAGGACACGTTAGCGATCAAATTTTCACTTCAGACAACGCCAATTGATCTAAGTAGGCCTACACGCTAACTCAGTGAGTTATCTCATGCAAGCAATTAAAGAGTGAAACAACAAGACGGAGAGAGGATCTGAGCTCCTCACTCACAATTAACGAGCGTTAGCGGCGCAAACGAGCTGTTTTCTGTCCAGTCTTTCGAGGAGTTTACATGCCACAGACAGGTGAGATTAAATGTTCAGCAGTCTTTTTTCACCTGGTTCACATAATTGTGATTACAGTGTTTCCGGCTTCCTTTCACGCGCCGCTTCATCGACTGAACGGGAATCACCGAGTCCAGCATCGTGTTTCTTTCTCCGTAGAAGTTAATTCAAGTTATTTATGGTTGAAGTATATTAACTGGTTACAATTTACAGAAACACATGACTTGTAGACTTTGTATGTTGGTGGTCATTGTCGCTTTTTATAGTCTCAATACATCAACATTTCACCTACTTGTTCTATATGTATATACAGTGGGTACGGAAAGTATTCAGACCCCTTTAAATTTTTCACTCTTTGTTTCATTGCAGCCATTTTCCAAAAATCAAAAAAGTTCATTTTATTTCTCAGTAATGTACACTCAGCACCCCATCTTGACAGAAAAAAACAGAAATGTAGAAATTTTTGCAAATTTATTAAAAAAGAAAACTGAAATATCACATGGTCATAAGTATTCAGACCCTTTGCCGTGACACTCATATTTAACTCAGGTGCTGTCTATTTCTTCTGATCATCCTTGAGATGGTTCTACACCTTCATTTGAGTCCAGCTGTGTTTGATTATACTGATTGGACTTGATTAGGAAAGCCACACACCTGTCTATATAAGACCTTACAGCTCACAATGCATGTCAGAGCAAATGAGAATCATGAGGTCAAAGGAACTGCCTGAAGAGCTCAGAGACAGAATTGTGGCAAGGCACAGATCTGGCCAAGGTTACAAAAAAATTTCTGCTGCACTTAAGGTTCCTAAGAGCACAGCGGCCTCCATAATCCTCAAATGGAAGACGTTTGGGACGACCAGAACCCTTCCTAGAGCTGGCCGTCCGGCCAAACTGAGCTATCGGGGGAGAAGAGCCTTGGTGAGAGAGGTAAAGAAGAACCCAAAGGTCACTGTGGCTGAGCTCCAGAGATGCAGTCGGGAGATGGGAGAAAGTTGTAGTAAGTCAACCATCACTGCAGCACTCCACCAGTCGGGGCTTTATGGCAGAGTGGCCCGACAGAAGCCTCTCCTCAGTGCAAGACACATGAAAGCCCGCATGGAGTTTGCTAAAAAACACCTGAAGGACTCCAAGATGGTGATAAATAAGATCCTCTGGTCTGATGAGACCAAGATAGAAATTTTTGGCCTTAATTCTAAGCGGTATGTGCGGAGAAAACCAGGCACTGCTCATCACCTGTCCAATACAGTCTCAACAGTGAAGCATGGTGCTGGCAGCATCATGCTGTGGGGGTGTTTTTCAGCTGCAGGGACAGGACGACTGGTTGCAATCGAGGGAAAGATGAATGCGGCCAAGTACAGGGATATCCTGAGTGCTCTGGACCTCAGACTGGGCCGAAGGTTTACCTTCCAACAAGACAATGACCCTAAGCACACCGCTAAAATAACGAAGGAGTGGCTTCAAAACAACTCCGTGGCTGTTCTTGAATGGCCCAGCCAGAGCCCTGACTTAAACCCAAGCGAGAGACCTGAAAATGGCTGTCCACCAACGTTTACCATCCAACCTGACAGAACTGGAGAGGATCTGCAAGGAGGAATGGCAGAGGATCTTGTTTTGTTGCATCTTTCCCAAAACGACTCATGGCTGTATTAGATCAAAAGGGTGCTTCTACTAAATACTGAGCAAAGGGTCTGAATACTTATGACCATGTGATATTTCAGTTTTTCTTTTTTAATAAATTTGCAAAAATTTCTACATTTGTTATTTTCTGTCAAGATGGGGTGCTGAGTGTACATTACTGAGAAATAAAATGAACTCTGAATTTTTGGAAAATGGCTGCAATGAAACAGTGAAAAATTTAAAGGGGTCTGAATACTTTCCGTACCCACTGTATACAACTATCTTTGTTCAGATTCCCTATCCTTGTTTTTAGCTGTATTTCCTTCCTCCTACTTGGCTAATAAAGCTTCTTATGATTAGCCTACAATGATTCTGTAATTTAATGTAGGCCTTAATCCTTTAGTGACAATTACCAACCAGGCATAAATTCATATTTTTGGCCAATTGAGAACAAATTATATATGCTCACCACATTACCTTCCAAAGTTGATATTGCGAACATATCCGCATTCAGCCGCTGTGTAAGTGTTATTTATTTGGAGCACAGCAGAGTGGAAAATCATCAAGTCATTGTCGGATGCCAATATGATTTAACATCGCCCAACCCTAGTTGAGTGTGTATGTTATGAGGAGCATTTTCACCGTGTCAGTTTCAGAAGCACTTGACTGACTTTGCATCCACTGTGTTTTCTCCATTTGCTGCAGGTGTATTGATGTGGATTGCATTCAAAGTAGTATCACTGTTCCACCTGGTCTGCTGTGGAGAAGGACTTCAAAAGGACATTGTATTTTATTTCACTGTCACCTGGCATGAATGGAAACTTCTGGGAGCTATACAGCTGGAAGGATCCCAACCTCCGAAGAGGTGCTTTGAACTTGACAGCAATTTTTGATCAACCTATTTGTGTGAATCTGCTTTTTCCTCACATGATCATTAAGTCAAATGTACAGATCCACAATGACAGATGACCAGTGTGTGGCTTGCCTAAGGCTTGCAACCAGCTCCTTTTGCCCCGACTATGAGAAACCAACTGCCTCCTCCAGTGCCAGCCGTTATTTATTTCCACTTATCCAACTCAGAACTAAATTTCTTTTTTCACCTGGATTATTTTCCGTTTGTGTGCCTATTGAATGTGTGCATAGGCTTCAGTACAAAGTAATAATCTTGGTAAGTATTGCAGGGCTCTTGTATTAGTTAATTACATCATAGAAAGTGTTTTTCTGGTCACTTGTTTCTGGATTATTTTGTGAAAGGGGGGTGGGGGGACCACAAAGATTCATGTTGAAGAATTAAACATCTTTATTAAAACCCAACTCCATTTAAATTCACTAAACTGCATGATGCACACTACAGTACAAAAATATACTGAACATATTACAGTTAGTCGAGACAATGACTCAGAACTTACGAAGTTTAAATACAAAAACCCACTCCTCACATAAAGACGTCTCTTTCACAGGTTGGAAGTATTCACAATTTGATTCTTTGGCCCACAGAGCATCTTTTGAGAGCGCAAAATGTGTACCATTTTTTAAAAAGAGCTCTCACAGCTGGACACACCCCAATAAATACATTACACAATGATACAAAAATACACTATGTTGGCTGGGAAAACCTTCACAGATCTGAGGTGCTCGGACATTAAAACAGTACCCTAAACATGTTCACATCATACAGAGAGTGAGTTTAGACTGCAGGCTGAGTTACTGTTCAGTCAGTCCATCACTTGAGATTCATGTACCACGTTTTCTTTGTCACCACGCGGAATAGGAGGGACCCAAGTGAGTGAGACCCATCCCACAAGCAGTCACCATTCAAAAAAAATAAACAGGCCACCAGTAACAGCGTTGTGCCAAATCCAGACATCTCTTCTCAGTTTGCTGTTCTCCGCACCTCTGAGCTTTTGTAGTGCACGGCCCCCCAATGAAGGATGCAAATATTAACCACCATAAGATTTCCCCCTGGCTTAGTTCTCATTTGGCGTCCCGGGACAGCTGCCAATGTGGATGTCTTTCCTCAGCTGGAGAGACACACAGCTGAGCCAGCTGCGACTGGTGGGCATCTCCCCGACGATCTCCCACGTGTCAGTCTCATCACAGTACCTCTCAATAGTGTCATGATATCTGCACGTAAATGGAAAGCAGCATTAGACAACTGTAATTTCAACAATTGTGTCAAACATTGCTGTTCCATCCCCCAGACATCTGCCTCCCCCATCCCACTCAACTCTAGCTAACCCCAGCGGTACCGCTAGCAGGCACTCCCGAGCTTCCTGCGTACCGATGCTAAACTGTACACAGCAACAACACTTCAGCAAACGAGAAGAAGAAAAAAATAAACAAATAAATAAATACACGACCAGCTCAGCACAACACAGATTCCCAACTCAAACGTCACGTAAGGGGGAAGAAACAAAAACACGATGCGCTGGAGCCCGTCAGGCCAAAACGACAATCACATCAACATCGGGAGAAAACAGTCTGAGTCTGAATGGCGTTTGAGTCATGTAGAGACCTCCACTTTGTTGTGGATATAAAAACTAACAGAGTTGGTTTTCATCTTATTTGACAGGTAAACTAACATTACTGCAGAGCCTGTGAAATATACTGTTATTTTGTGTTTTAGTTTGCTCAAGTTAAATAATGTTAGGCTTGCCAGCTATTACCGACCAGTTGCTGACGTTAAAGGTTGCAAAATACTATACAGGTGCTGGTTATATAATTAGAAATCATCAAAAAAGTTGATTTATTTCAGTAATTCCATTCAAAAAGTGAAACTTGTATAATGTATACATTCATTCCACACAGACTGATATATTTCAAGTGTTCATTCCTTTTAATTTTGATGATTATAACTGACAACTAATGATGAAAATCAGTATCTCAGAAAATTAGAATATTGTGAAAAGGTTCAATATTGAAGACACCTGGTGCCAAACTCTAATCAGCTAATTAACTCAAAACACCTGCAAAGGCCTTTAAATGGTCTCTGTCTAGTTCTGTAGGCTACACAATCATGGGGAAGACTGCTGACTTGACAGCTGTCCAAAAGACGACCATTGACACCTTGCACAAGGAGGGCAAGACACAAAAGGTCATTGCTAAAGAGGCTGGCTGTTCACAGAGCTCTGTGTTTCAAGCACATTAATAGAGAGGCGAAGGGACGGAAAAGATGTGGTAGAAAAAAAAGTGTACAAGCAATAGGGATAACCGCACCCTGGAGAGGATTGTGAAACAAAACCCATTCAAAAATGTGGGGGAGATTCACAAAGAGTGGACTGCAGCTGGAGTCAGTTCTTCAAGAACCACCACGCACAGACGTATGCAAGACATGGGTTTCAGCTGTCGCATTCCTTGTGTCAAGCCACTCTTGAACAAGACACAGCGTCAGAAGCGTCTCGCCTGGACTAAAGACAAAAAGGACTGGACTGCTGCTGAGTGGTCCAAAGTTATGTTCTCTGATGAAAGTAAATTTCCTTTGGAAATCAAGGTCCCAGAGTCTGGAGGAAGAGAGGAGAGGCACAGAATCCGCGTTGCTTGAAGTCCAGTGTAAAGTTTCCACAGTCAGTGATGGTTTGGGGTGCTATGTGATCTGCTGGTGTTGGTCCACTGTGTTTTCTGAGGTCCAAGGTCAACGCAGCCGTCTACCAGGAAGTTTTAGAGCACTTCATGCTTCCTGCTGCTGACCAACTTTATGGAGATGCAGATTTCATTTTCCAACAGGACTTGGCACCTGCACACAGTGCCAAAGCTACCAGTACCTGGTTTAAGGACCATGGTATCCCTGTTCTTAATTGGCCAGCAAACTCGCCTGACCTTAACCCTATAGAAAATCTATGGGGTATTGTGAAGAGGAAGATGCGATACGCCAGACCCAACAATGCAGAAGAGCTGAAGGCCACTATCAGAGCAGCCTGGGCTCTCATAACACCTGAGCAGTGCCACAGACTGATTGACTCCATGCCACGCCGCATTGCTGCAGTATTTCAGGCAAAAGGAGCCCCAACTAAGTATTGAGTGCTGTACATGCTCATACTTTTCATGTTCATACTTTTCAGTTGGCCAACATTTCTAAAAGTCCTTTTTTTGTATTGGTCTTAAGTAATATTCTAATTTTCGGAGATACTGAATTTGAGATTTTCATTAGTTGCCCGTTTTAATCATCACAATTAAATGAAATAAACTAATCAGTCTGTGTGTAATGAATACATATAATATCCAAGTTTCACTTTTTGAATGGAATTACTGAAATAAATCAACTTTGATGATATTCTAATTATATGACCAGCACCTGTAGCTGTAATGTTATAGCTTGCCACATTACTTCACCAGCTAACAATATTACTATCCTGTGTACCACCGATATGTCAAAGTGTTGATTTTAGCCTGCAAGACATGATGTAACGTTAAAAAGCCAAACGTGGACAATTTATTTCTGCAAGGCAGCGGAAGCCAGCTACATTAGCATGGAACAGGCGTTGTTGACATTCAATTTAGATTTATCGTCGTTTTACCGATACACAGCTTCTTTACCTTCTCAGTTGCTGTAACTTAACTAACCCACATAATATACAATAATGCACAGCGTTTCCCAAACAGACTTTACTTGGGCGGGCCACCCAGGTATATTTGATGACCCATTTTAGCATTTTGCAGAGAAACACAGAGTTGTTATCTATTACATTACAAGATGCGGACAGGGTGGATATTTGACAAGCACGGACCAGGTAAAGAGACAGTGAAAACACACAGTTGCAGATCTCAAATCGGAAAAGAGCAGAAGTGAAAGGGAGCAAATTTAATTAGTGAGTAAGCTGCTTCCTTTTATAACTCTCCTCTGTGTCTGCCTCAGCTACAAAATTGTAACAATATTAAATTGCATAGCTTATATAATTTTTTTTGCATTATGTGCATAGAATTGTGTTGATTAAAATAGTGTCAAGTCGCAATAGGAGTGAATTGTAGCCTACCACATTGGTAGCTGCTTTCAGTTCCTAAAATGGTTCCTTGGCTCCTGGAAGGCATCTAGTCTGAATTTGCCCAGATTAGCCCCTTACCTGTCCCAGCCTTCTTCTCCTCCCAGGACGTAGATCTTTCCATCCACCACAGCAGCACCGGGCCGGTAGCGTCGTTCTTTCATGGGGGCGCACATGGTCCACTGGTTAGTCTTGGGATTGTAACACTCCACCTTATCTGTATTCTCTATCGAGGCATGCCATCCACCTGGAAGAGGGAGAGAGACTGATTATCTTGCTTGATGTCATTAGAGAGGGCTGTGTTGTGGGGCCAGAGTGCTATAAAAAGTCACATACCTATGACGTAAAGCTTTCCTTTGAGTGTACAAGCTGCTGAACCAGAGCGAGCGATTTGCATGGGAGCAACCTCTGTCCATGCAGAGGTTTTAGGGTTGTACACCTGAGCGAGGTCTGTGCCATCGCCATCCTCTAGAATTGCTCCACCTACCAGGACACAGTGAGGATGCACAAGACTAATTTTTATACTACTGTGTATAATACTGTGAATCCAAAACATTTTCAATAAAAAATAAAATGACATGGCACAACCTCAAGAAAAACCTGCATAGGTTTTCCTACCAGTAACATAGAGCAGTCCGTCCAGGGCCACTACAGCAGGACTTGTGACGGCCATCTTGACAGATTCGGTGAACTGCCAGGAGTTGGTGTGAGGGTTGTAGCACTCCACTGAGTCCAGACGTGAGCGTCCCTCCCACCCTCCCACTGCATACACAAAGCCATCCAGCATCACCAGGCCTGAGGAGAATTAATCACGTCAATGATAACCTTTTACATAAAGAAGATAGATATATATCCTAAATTATAATTTAGAGCTTCTAAATGCCTTTGTTAACTGCAACAACATGATGCTACATCTAGCCATTTAACTAGCCCTGCTTTGGTTTTCACTGTTGTCTGCCCAGTTTGGAGACCAGTTCCTGGAAGTAAATTTTGGCATTACTCAGATACTTAAGGCAAGTGGTTGTCAGTTGTGCTATTGAACAACTACAACAACAACCACCACCCATTTAATGCTGCATCTGTATCAACCAGGACAACAGACACCGCAAAAAGGAAGGTTGTCAGACAAACAAAGATGTCCAGGCCCTCATTAGATAGTTTGACAAGTGGGGGACATTCAGAAGAAGACAGTCAGCACAAAGTTATTAGTTTAAAACAAACTTATAGAAAAATAAAAGTGTCACAATGCAAAAGAGAAGCTACTAACATGCCAAGATGTTGCTGCAGACTAGGGCTTCAGCTACTTCACCCAAGTTCTATACAAGTTATACTAAGATGCAGCTCCCCGACACCCAGTTAACTCATGACTGTGACGTTACAACACAAACTCACGGCCCAACCAGGGAGAGAATAACAAACGCACGTGTCGGTTGGGTCTGAAGACTCCAAGTTTGAAAATAAAAATAAAATCTGGGGGTGGTGAGTTAGAAAGATGTGACTGGATTATCTCAGTTCGTCAATTTAGCATCCCAGTTAAAAATCACAATCACATTTAACTAAATAACGGTGCACCTTGCTAACCAAGCTAGCGCCACCGTCTTGTCCAAAAATCATCACGTCCGGTGCCTGGTTGCAAATCAATCAATAAAAATGGTAACGGGCAAAATGCCAAACTCGAGGTTTCAAAAACGACTAACCAATGGGTCACGTCATGGCGACTACGTCCACTTCTTTTATGCAGTCTGTGCTCAAGTTTTATTGTAAATTGCATTGTGGTTAATGTGTGCGCCAGGTTTGAAAAATAACCATGACACAGCATATCTGCTCGTCTTTATAATGACATATCCAGAAAAAAAAAAATAAAATTGATACTTTGACTGCCTCACCTAACTCAGAGCGAGCCACATTCATGGGAGCCATCTCGATCCAGGAGTCGAAGCAGGGGTCGTATCGCCACATCTCCCTGCTGGCTGAACCATCAGGAAACTCTCCTCCTGCCAAATACAGAGTGGAGTCTACAGAGGAGGAAGATTAACAGAAACATGTCACTTGTGATGAGCATCATTATCCAGGAGGGTTTAATCTATAAACTGAATCTCATAAGGTTTCCTCACCCGACACGACCAGCCCATGTTTGCTCACAGCGAAGGGCAGGCAGGCCAGGTTCTTCCACTGATTCGTCATGGGATTGAAGCTCTCAACGCTGCGCAGCACCACCTTGTCATCCTCCCCGCCAACTGTCACTATCACTTCAGCTGTTCCTGTTGCCATGGCAACAGCAGTAAAGGAAAAGAAGAGTGAGACAAGGAGCGCTGGACTTTGGATAGATGCTAATCTGAAGTAAAATGGCCCCTGTAGAATACAACGTAGTGATGCGTAAGGGCTGCAGCCAACGACCGACAAATCTTTTAAATGATCATTACAATTTCTGTCTTGTTTTGTACGACCACGAGTCTAAAACCCCAAAGATTTTTTTCTTAAACGATTAATCAAATAAAATAGTGGCCAACAGTAGATTTACTTTCTGTGCATTAACTAAATGATTGAGTTCAAGTGGCAGAGGGCAGAAAACAGGCGTATGAGCTGTCTAACATCCGATAATAATGTGTAAGAAAACAAATACCTAACCAGCTTGAATGTGTACTTTATCTAAACAAAGTCCCCAAGACACAAACATCTTTCAAGTTTAACAAAAGAAAACCCACTAGGATGACAGAGGTGGACAAAGGTACAGCCTCTACCTATAATCAAAATGCATGTGCAGGTGAGTGTGTGTACCTGTGGACCTGCGTGGCCTCGCTCTGGGGCAGTAGAGCTCTCCACGGCGGTCCTTTAGCAGCAGGTAGTCCTTGGCCTCAGAGATGAGCCTCTGGCAGCCCTGGTTCTCCTTCACCACATCCAGAGACTCGATCACATCATGGAGGTAGTAGGGGCTGATAAGAGGCAGCCGGATATGCTCAAGGACCTTTGAGGAACAAACGGAAGGAGAGAAATCTGATCAATGTCCACTGTACCTCAACTGTCCCATACAAGTATAATTCAGCAGGAGAATGTGAGACCAATGCAAAGGTGTCCACAGAGGGATTACCGAACACAGTTCCATGCACCAAATGGGTTAAAGTTATTATTTTGTTGTTGGAAAGTCACATGGCTCAGTCAAAAATACAAATGCCTTGTTTTGTATTCCTGATTCTTTAATGCAAAAGTTTGACATTTTAGGAAGAACATATATTTTCCTTCTAGCCGAGAGTTAGATGAGAAGATCGATACCATCGATATATGCATGTTAAAAATAAGCTACAGCCAAGAGCTGGTTAGCTCAGTTTAAAAACTAGCCTGGACCACTTCTTGTTTGGGACCAGTCATTTCCTGATGTCTCTGCTGGATGTCAACAAGACACTGGCTGTGTACAAAAACGATCCCTCATTCACTATTCTTTATCTAGGGACTTCTATGTAACGGACTATATACAAAAGGTGCACCTCAAAAAAATCTTCATTGAGAGCACCAGAACCAGAGAGATTAAAGGCTCAGGAAACCTTTGCAGGTGTTTTGAGTTAATTAGCTGATTATAGCTCTTCTCAGGTCGACATTTCTGTATTATAAATTGTTTATTTTAAAATCATCAAAATAAAAAAAAGCTTGAAAGATTTCACTTTATGGGTAATGAATCTAGAATATATGAAATTTCACTTTTTCCAGATATTCATTTTTTTTTTTAGATGAGCTCAAAATCAAAACAACACATTTCAGACACTACTCTGCCATTCTCTGTGCCTTTAATTACATCCTTACTGTCGCACAATTAAACCGTGCAAGCTTCTGGTCCACTTTTCGGTCAGCACATGCATAGTATATTCCACAATGTTGTCCACTACTTTTCACAATGGATTCTGGGATGCACCGAGTCCACTATATAATATAATTCTCACTATACATTCAGACAGAAAACTGGCTATATAGTTGACTCTGTAGGGAGAAGTGAGTGATTTCGGACACAGCCACTGATTCCCCAGCCCCATGATGAAATATCAAAATCTGCCCATCCACTATAATTATTAGAAACAGTATCACTGTTGGTTATTGTGTTTTTATATTAAGCAGTTATTCCCCATATTTGTCAGTTGTGTCTAAGAAGACCTTTCCCCGCAGATCACACAACGGCATGCTAATCCAGAAACACAAAGCATAATTTTGAAGTAATTATAAAGATGTAATTACAACAGTGCAGAATCCCTTGTTGACCTGCATGCGATATTATGGGGTAATATAGTTTTAGAGACATAAGTGGATTAGGTGCATACTTACACTACACGCAGTAAGCCTACAATAAAACGAGTGAGGCCGTTTAAAATTACTTTTATGACAGGTTTCCTTTGACAGTTTCCTATAATAGAGCGAGTATTATTCTATACAAGGTCTATGGAGTGTTTGGAAATTATTCAGATAGCCTCTTTTCATCTCCAGCATGGGTTTCAACCAAGAAGAGAAGCAAAAATTAACCTGCAAAATACCACACAAAAAGACAAAAACAAAACTGGGGGTGCTGCAGGAGGTAAGAGAGGGGGCCCACAGTCTCGTTATCAGTCAGTAGAAGTGTCTGACAGTGGCAACAAGAAATCCTTGATTTATGGATGTCTTAAAGACTAACAGCTGCTGAGCTGAGGGCTCTTTCACATTACACAGTCAGCCCTGGGATTACAGTAGCACTGTAAACTCTGTTACAATAGATCAACATGCACAACAAAACTAGAGATAAGAGAGAAAACTGTAGTCATTATAACGTGACAAATGTATGCCTGTAGTAAGCACTTTTGTACCAAGGTTGCAAGCACTGGAGCTTCTGTGAACTCAAGTGAATCTGACCTTTTCAAAGCTCTGTTTGCGAGAGGAACATTTATTCAGCCACAACATGGCCGCCTCAAACACCATCTCCTCTTTAGGCACATTAAGAAAGTCACTGGCAAGGATTTCGGTCAGTTTGTCCACACACAGAGACAGGAACTCCTCCTGGTGGGTGGGGGGAAAAAAGACATAGAAAGAATGAAGAGTACCTGACAACGTACTGAACCTGCTTTCTAAACAGACACACACACACGAGAGATAATCACTTGTAGGACATCAGTTTAACTGCTGACAGGTAGATAGATTATCTTTGTTAAGCCCTTTTCACACATGAAACCCACAACAATGCCAGGTTCAATTATCCTGGTAAGGTACTAGTGGCATATGTGAAGGCAGCATTGTAGTAACTGACGTAATTCTCTTTTACATTATCACCTGCCTTTCACTTCCACTGTGATGACACTCAGCAGAACCTCTGGATTATTTAGATATAGTGAGTCCTCCTTATGGATTGAACTTTGTTGTTGACAATAGCTAGGCTATTTGTCAACTGTCTCTTTATACTGTGGTATCTGTCTTTGTAATAGTTCTGCTTGTATCAGACCACCTTTTGCAACACAATTATAGTTACTCTAGGCAGTCTCCATCTAGTATTGCATTTGACTACCACTGCAAACATATCGCAAGCAGGAATCCTGGGACCGCAGTTCTAGGACAGTAGTTGTTCTGCGACAGCTCCATCTGGTGGATTGGTGGTGGTAATGCATAGCAACACGAAGGAGGTTAACCCTGTCTGCTAGCACGTCAGCCTTGAGGCCGATGTGCGCAGCTGTAGGGTTAACCGGTTGACATGCATATAATCAATAACTTAGGTTTAGGCACACAACCTGTGATTGTTAGGGTAAGGGTAATTTGCTTCGGGGGGCTGTCAAAAGTAACATATCTAGCCAGCATGCTAGCTAGCAGTATCAAAGAAAACAAGGGTCCCACAAATGCTGTCCCGGTCCTAGGACTGCGGTCCTGAAACTGCTGCCTCCAGTACTGCACCTATATACACTACTCCCCACTTTTGTGGTAAGTAATCACTTACTTTGCACAAGTTCAAGGTTTCCCTTTATAACTTTGGTTAAAGTATAACATTTCTTGTAATACCGTTTAATCACAAGTGCACAGAGTCGATGCGCAAAGTTTCGTCCAGATGTGACTCAGCCAAGAAAGAGTTTGAAAAAAGTAGGTTTTGCATTTTCAAGTCCCACCTAGTGTCCGATTGGCGGGAAATTTTGCATAGAGCCTTGTGGGGCATGGGAAGGTAGGTTAATGGGAAGGTCTCTTCATCGAACAGACCTATGTAGAGATATAACATCACTTCCTGCACCATAGGGAAGTTGTTCCTTTATAACTTGTGCATTTATTGGATAATCAAAATTATTTTAATAACTTTTGATCATGAGGGTCCATAGAGTCTACAATGTTATGCAGATCGGACTCAATGCCTTTGCACACAAGGTTTACAAATGTGCAATGTACTTGAGAGTTACAGGCCACAGTTATAGGGGTTTGCCTAGATTATAGCGCCACCAGCTGGTGGACATGTGTACTTTTGGCATCTGAGCTGTGTGCAGCAGTCTATACCACCCCTGTGAATTTCACTTACATTATGGTTTAGGCTGCAGTATGACTTTAACCAAAAAGAAAAAATCTTAGTGATTTCAGTAGGGTTCCTAGCACAACTGGTACTGGGAGCCACGCTGCTTTGCATATGCCCCCAGCCCCCTCAGGCTTGGACCCCTACATTTTTGGCTCCATCAGCTCCTCACCTGCTGATAAACACTGCTGAAGTGCTGAAGGATGTAGTCCATGCTGCTGCTCTCCAGCCTGCTACAAGAATGGGCCTCGGCAAAGCAGTGAATCCCCACACAGTTCATCTCATCCATCTGACGCTCCATAAAACGACAACAGGCTTCTCGCACTGCCATCACGTCCAGCAGATTGGCTGCTGCCAGCAGGGCCTGGACCGACACAAGTAGTTTTCAGCACAGATGCTCTTTAGGGAAGTGGGTGGGACAGCGCAGAAGAAGAAAAGGTGAGAGCGGACGCTTTACCTGCACATTTGCTTTAGAGATGTAGACCTCTGATGTGTAGGCGTAGCTCACCAGCATGCCAATCATCTGAGGTTCAACTCCGTTGATGGCAACTCTCTCCTGTTTGGACTCTATCAGGTCAGTGGAAAACATCGCCTGGGGAGATGAAAGCAGGAAAACACTCACAGCTGTTTACAGGATTCCCTGGCCTATGAACATGGACCTCCTTGTGCCTGTCACATAAGGTTTACCTGGAAGTAAGAGCTGAAGGAGGCAAGCACAATGCGATGGCAGGGGAACTCCTGTCCTCCACAGCACAGAGTCACATCACAGAAGGCATTGTTGAGCCGCAGGCTGTTGAGGCCCTGCAGGACAGTGTTGGGGTGCCTGGTCTCCACAAACAGATAGTCGTCGTTCAGAGAGGCTGGAAGAGCGGCGGCAGCAGCGGGGCTGGCGTCCTCCGGAACCGGGTAGGTGACGTTCATAGTGGACGGCGAGGGAAAACCGGCGTCGACGGAAATTATTTCAGCCATATCTCACTTTGCTAGGCAAGTCCGGGAGGGAGGTGAGTGGAGCCAAAACAAACAGGATAGTCGGGACACTTTGACGATCAAATTCTCACTTCAGACAACGCCAACCATTTAAGTGCACGCCGCTCAAGTAGCTTTCACTGAGTTAGCTGTGACAAGCTGTCATTTAAGAGTGAAATTTGGAAAAGTTGGGAGAAGCAACAAGGCGGAGAGAGGATCTGAGATTGTCACTAATCACTAATAAGGCTTACCTCTGGTGTAACGTTAGCGGCTCGGCGGCGCAAACGAGCCGTTTCCTATCCAGTCAAGCTAACCAGCCGTTGGAGGAGTTTACATGCCACAGACAGGTGAGATTAAACGTTCCGAAGCTGCAACGGTGAATCGATTTTCACCTGTTTCACATAATCGTGATTACCACAACGCAAACACGCTCTCCCACACACAGCGAAGCGTCAAACTGTAATGAGAAACAGTTAACGCCTCTCACCGAAAGCTCCTCCCCCCTCATTGTCACACGTCAAGAGACGTAATCTCCGAGTACTTCCGGCTTCGTTTCACTTCCGGCGCCGTTTAATTGATTGAATGTCCCCGGGTTCAGCATCGTGTTTCTTTCTGTGTATAAGTTGTTATTTAAGGTTAAAGTATAATTATGAACTGGTTACAATTTACAGAAACACAGTGTTGATTTTTATATACCATTTTTTTCACCTACGTCTGCAACGCAAAAAATTCTATTTATTTTAGAAGCAATTAACCTTTTGTCCCCGAGTGGAAGGTGAGTCCCCACAATGTGACTGTGTGACCAGATTTATGTCCCCAAAATAAATTAATACAAGTACACACACTGTATATGTATCAGAGAATAGAACGTTGGAGATGTATTTTGCACACATATTTTATTTATTTTACAATTATGTTGTCAACAGTACAGTAATAATTAAAAAATAACAAAGCATCACAACCAAATCAGCCTATTATTTCATTTTTGGAGAGAAACAATCACCAATCAGTGATATATTGTGGATTTAAGATTGAGTTCATAGCCATGTGGCCATTTTTATAATCTTGTAATTTTCAACCAGATTTATGGAGGCTATTGTTATATGATTGATATTATCAATTTTTATAAATATTATTGATATTATATCCACGGTGATTCAAAGGCCTTCAAACTTTGCTACATTTTTGATTAAATTTTAAATTAAAATTTTTTGCATTTATTGCTGAAGCACATATTATCTTTGACAGAAATAATGGATTTAGTGCAGCAGATGGGGGCAATTGCTGCTCATCTTCCGACCGATGGCCCAGCCAGTCCAGCCGGACCAAGCACTCCCGCAAGCGATGCAACTGCCCCAGTACAGATAAGAGCTAAGCTAACGCAGCTTGGACGTAAGGCTGCTCCACTACCTTGATTCCTTGATATTGTATGTCCTAACACTCCTGTCATGCTGTTTGTAATTGGTCATAACATGGATTATGCTGAGCACAATGTTATTCTATGGTCGCCACAGGGAATGAGTTTGATCACCTGAAATCCTGGAAATTGTTGTTTAGTTTCGATAGAATCATCTTTGTTTGATATAGACAGTTAAACTATTTGCTCTCTTTACAAAAGATACAGACTCATATTAAGTTTCCAACAGGATTATAAATCAATGTTCATGTTTGTTTTAGATCACAGGCAGGTGTCCTTAATGACGCCAGGTGCCTCCAGTGTGTTCTTTCTGCGAGCAACCGCTTCCAGAATCTTCTTCCTGGGTCCCAGCTGGATGTGAATGCCTTTCAGGTCTTCATCAGAGCAAAGCATTAGCGCCTCCAGGTCCAGGTGCTCTCTACTGAATGCAAGGGTGAACTCTGGCAAGGAGATGGCAGACAAGAACGCATCTAAAGGAGAGGTTTCGTCCTCATCATCATCCAGTCCCAGGTCTTCCTGATCCCAGGGCAGATCACCATTCCCCTCAAAGCTAGCAGCGTCTTCCTCTGCATCAGACAACTCGTTCTGAACTAGGTAGCCAAGACTTTCGTTCTTCCCACTGGGAATGTCCTGTGACATCAGCCCCATCTTCTTCATGAAAATCAGATCTCCAAGGCCGGGCCGGCTGAAGATGGAATGCTTGACAGGTCCTAGTTCTCCACTGGCGTCATCATCTTCAAAGCCTGTCGTTCCTTCTTCATCTAACATGCTCTCATCCTGCTCATCAAAGACATCAAGAAACTCTGGCTTCTCAGTTGCTCCACTCTGCTGTTTGAAGAAAATAACGTTCCCATCTCCTCCTGGCCTCTGCAGTGTGCCTTTATCTTTCTTACCAAGCTTCTTCCGGAGTGTGGCTGTAAGAGAGCCGGATTTATCAGCAGCGATAAGCTTGGAGAACTGTTCATTGATGCCAGTCATGGTACCACCGCTTGAGAGTGCTGATGCCATGCTGGCCTCTGAGACAGACCGAGTATTGCCTGCTCCACGGTGCATTTTATTCATCTTGCTCTGGTGTTCCTTCTTCACCTTTTCACAGTGTTTCACACGCTTTTCTGCTTCTTTGACAGCCTCCTTCTTAAGATTGGCGACCTTCTTAGCATTTCGGTTGGTCTGTTGCGAGGCAGAAGCGTCTAGGAAGCGCACACAGTCCATGTGGTCACGAGAAGCAGCAACATCCATAGCTGTGTGGAATTCATTGTCCAGTGCAAAAAGGTTGGCACCGAAGTTGACCAGAAAGCTGAGGATCTGCATGTGGCCATTAGCAGCAGCATGATGCAACGGTGTATTTCCCCAGATGTCACTCTTATTGGGGTCTCCTCTGTATGGCACAAGAAAAAAGATTTGATTTAAAGTAATGATCTGCAACATATTTTATGAAATATGTTTTGCCACTCTAAATCACTAATTGCCATCATATAATAATGATTAATACTTCCTCCAAGAATATGTAGCTGTATGAAGAGATATTCTTTATATATATATCAAAGTTAACATTTCTGATTTAATTTTTATGGTTTTATTTGATTTGATATATTACTGGACTATAAAACATGCAAATATGAGGGGCAACTCAACAAAGCTGGAATATTTATTTCCAACATGGTACCAGGATGTGAAAACACAAACATAAAACAAAACAAACATTTAATTATAAAATGTATTATTAAATGAAACAACAGACTCTTAAAATAAAAACTATCTCAGTGTAAACAAATCCAAAAATATTCACATCAATACATCCACATACAACAGAAACAGAGTTTTGTAAAGTAAAAATTCATTAATAATGTAAGATTATAGCTCTGACCTGATGTCTAAAAGCCTGGATTTTGTCGACTTAATATGTAATGTAACTATTCTACAATAGTGCACAGTGTAAGAAAATAAAAAAAAACTTAAAGAAAGAAGATCTTACTAAGAAGAACCAAATCCCCAAAAAGTGACTCTTCAAGCCCACAGTACAGGAGGAAACTCAAAGAGGGAGAGATTGGAGAGTCAGACTGCTAGATTTTGATGTTGCTTATTTTCCACTGTCTATGGCACATCGAGTGTCTTTATTATTATGTTGTGTTAACTTTACAGTCCCATCACCAGGTAATTCCAATGATGGCCAACAAGTCTCTTTAGGTTGTTATCGTCAGTTAAATCAAGTCTCAGATTTCAAGTTAAAAGAATAGTCTGACATTTGAACAAATACACTTTGCTGAGAGCTAGATGAGAAAATTGATAACACCATCTCTTGGAATTATCAAATCATGTTGTACATCAACTCTGAAACACCTTTTTTGTGCAAAGACTTATTATGCTGACAGTAGCAAGCTCACATTAGCAAGAATAATACATAAATTTGTAAACGATTTAGCCTAGGCTACTAAAATGAACACCTAAATTTAACTGGGACTGTTAAGAAATGTAGCAATTTATGCTAAAAATTGATGGAAAGCTGGTGACCTACAAGTTTCTCACCTTGACCTTATTGTAGGGGTCTGGATAAATTTTCTGTTCTGATCTCAACAAGTCTGGACAAATTAATGAGTAGGCAACAATAAGAGACAGGATTTTTATGATGTCATCACATAGACTTCTCAACAAGTATTTTACTACAAAATATATAAAATATTTCCATACAAAATATGAAGCTATTTTTATTAACCCTATGAAATACAACTGACAATATCCTATTTTGTATTTTAAATACATATTTGAAATACATGTATCATAAATACTTCCCATCCCTGACAGCAACGTGTCATTTTTACATGTTTTGTACAGGCCAAATGAGACATGGAAAAATGTGTTAAATAGTGAGCTTTAGATGTCCTGGTAGGTGGATTTTGTTACCTTGTTTGGGCAGAATCAGGCTAGCTTTTTTCCCTGTTTCCATTCTTCTCATCTAAACATGTAAAACTATCCCTTTAAATGACAAGGTAAGAATTAACATAAAGCCTTTCAGATGCAAAATAAACTCACAACATATAACAAAATAATTCTAAATACGGCTGAAGATAATTGGTAAACTATTAAGATTTAAAGTCCTCCAGTGATGTGCCTCATTGTCACAGCCATAAAAGCCTTGATTGCTGTATTCCTCCTACAACTTGTCATAAATCCCAGTTTATGCTTGCAATGACCAAAGCGGAAATGTTTCAGTTCATTTTAGCCACGTAGTGAGACGTGCACTACGCCCTACGAAAAATCCTCCACACATCTTTCCTGAACCTCATGTTTCAGTAAAAATGCTGTGCTAGATTTTAGCCTGTCTATTGTTGCATTGAATAAGGGATGGAGGTTGGGGGTGGTGGGAATAGATAAAGGACTCTTTTGTTTTACAGGATGTCTTTGGCTGACTAAACATTTGGCTGTGCCAATCGGAGAGCGTCATCTAAAGAGTGGAATGAAGAAATTTTAGTTCATTATATTATAATGAACGTCATGTGAACACCAACACGTCTTGTCAAACCCAGAAGAAACCTGCACAGTATGAAAATGCATATTTATCAGCCATAAAATTCATCAGGCAATGTGTTAACCTTTGCTCAGTGAACACTATCTATTAGTTTTAGTGCATTATGAATATAGTAGAATGTACTATTCTATTATGTCTTAGTGTAACAATATGGCCAAACTGTTATGTCATGCTTGGCATACTTTCTTTAGGATAATAATCATAGAGATAAAGCTTGCTATGGCTACACAGGGGATGGAGAGGAGTATATCATGCTTACTCTCTGCTGCATATGAGCTGTAGAGCATCGATATGTCCATGGAAAGCTGCCAGTAAGGTGGGAGTCATGCCATCCTCATCCCTAGCGTTCAGGTCCTGCCTTGTGGCCTCCTTCAAGATGTCCAAGTGTCCATCAATTGCTGCTTTGTGGTACCTAGACATCTCTTAAAAGAACATAAAAGGTCTAAACAAATATCTCACTTTCTTTCCCTTTCTCCCCGACTCCTGCTGGATGCACAGACTGACGCGACTGCGGACCCGAGCAAACAAAGTGATCACTGGGCGTTAACACATCAGCAGCCCAGAGCCATAAAACAAAGGCAAAGTCCAGTTCACTGCCATCAGGGACAGAGTTTCCTGAAACACCATTAGTCTACTGCTTGAGAACGAGAACATTGCTTTAAACTGAATTAGCCTATTAAACTGTCAAAGAGATATTTCCACTGTATTTAGTATTTTCTGTCAAATCAGTGTAGTGCAGTAAGAAGTACAACATATCCCTCTGAATTGTAGAAGTATAAAGTAGCATAGATGTAAAAGTATAAATACCTCATAATTGTACCTATGTACATTGAATGTAGGCCTACTCCACCACTGGTTAAAAACAAGAAGGCAGTGGAAACTTTTATTATAACTACTTTAATTAATCTTTCTATCTATAATCTATCTTATTTAAACTGGCTGTACCGTATGTTTATCAGTTTCGTACATAGCCTTCAGGCATATGGGTGTATGTACTTGTTGTTTTGTTATGATTGTTTTGTTATGATTGTTTATTTTAATTTTTTTTTTTTTAAGTCAGCAAGCATTTGTAAAAAGAATAATTACAAAAGTGTATTGCAGGCATATCTTTGTTATTTTTATTATTTATTATTTAATCGACTGCGCCACCCTCCAGTCCAGTGGGTGGTTGTGGTGCATCTTGATGGCTTGCTACACGGCAACAGAAGAAGAAGAAGAATTATTATCACCCCCGGTTCAACCGGTTAACCAATGAATGGAGACGGGGAGGAAACACTGACCGATAGTTTTGTTTTTCCACATTGCTTTCCTCTTTCTGGCAGCAACTTGGTTTATAAATGCCATGTAGTCGCAGCTGTGAGTGGATCTAAATCCCGTAACAGTTCCGCAGCTAGAAAAACCGGACCGACCACCGCGGCTATCTCTCCTCTCCTCGGCTCGCTCCGCCGTTAACGTTAACTTCCCGGTGTTTGCTCTGACCGGGAGAAGCTACAGAGATGTCCGACGACGGTGGCTCGGCTGTTGGCCTTCTGTCTTACGAGACGCTGGTTCACGCTGTTGCAGGTGCAATGGTGAGCAGAGAAGTGCACTTTATGTCAAGTGTGTGGGTGTGCCTGGTCTCGTCTTACTAGATTGATGCTAGCAGCTCTGGTGTTAAAGAAACTGCTTAAGTCATCGAGCCTGGTGTCAGTTTGTTTTGTGTTTTTTGTTGCATCACCACAATGTATTGTCTTTTAGGGGAGTGTGACAGCTATGACCGTCTTCTTTCCTTTGGACACAGCCAAAAGCAGACTGCAGGGTGAGTAGGAGGTCTCATAGGTTACGTGAAAGCAGTTCTCTTAAGTCTAGTGCAAAGATTTATTGCTACCTGAACTTTGGACATCTTTAATAAGCAGCTCAGGTATCATTTGTTTAGACTGGCCTTTGTGTATTTTATTTATTTATTTATGTTTATGTTGTTTTATAGGTCTGTTTCCTTATTTTGTTTTTTTCTTGATACCCACTTCTTGAGGGGAACAACACTGTTTCAGAGTTTCTGTTGTAAATTTCAAAAATACAAAAGTCTCAAACTCAAGCTGAGATACCGTGGTGCAGAGGTGGAAGTATTTAAGAAACAGTTTGAGGTACTTGTCCTTTTTCTGCTGCTTTATACCTCTACAATATTTCAGAAAAATATTGTACTTTTTACTCCACTAAATTTATTTTATAACTTTTTTGTTACTTTGCAGATTAAGATTAATAAAACAAAATATAATCTTTGAAGAGATCATGATGTAATATTATAGATTAATGTAAAACTTTATTAATTCCTTGGAGGACTTATGCATTTGTTTTGCAGTGGATGAGGAGCGAAAATCTAAATCTACCCCCGTCATCCTGGCTGAAATAGCAAAGGAAGAAGGCCTGTAAGTATAGTTTCGAGCTGCACTATCACACAGCCCACTGGGTTAGAATTCCATCAAGTTTATAGCTTGCTTTGTTTTTAAAATCAAGTTTCTTGGTTTGATTTGAACAGCTAGAGCTGAAACAGTCAATAACTAGTCTACAGCAGATTAATCTGCAGCTGTTTTGTTAATGGTTTAAGTATTGTTCTTTTATTAAACATGCCAAAAAATCTCTGGTTCCAGCTTCTCAAATGTGAATATTCTCAGTCTTATATGAAAACAAAATGAATGTTCTTTGGGGTTTTGGACTGTTAACAAACAAAACGCAAGCAATTTAAAAAGAAAGTTAATAAAACTGATTTTATAGACAAGATTAATAAATAATCAAAAGAATTGGTAGTTGCCGCCCTAATCTAAGCTAATGTAGCCACCTGACTGAGAACTCACTATTCAAGTAACTCTCCACCACATCTCCCAGTCAGTCTTTGTACAGAGGCTGGTTACCAGTCATCTCCAGCCTCTGCTGCTCCAACTTTGTCTACTTCTACACCTTCAACACACTGAAGAAGCTGACGGCATCCGGTCCAGGCAAGTCCAGCCCCAGCAAAGACCTGCTCATGGGAGTCATGTCAGGTAAACACACATACAGTAAAACTAACAATTGTTAGTTAACTAATTACTTAGTTAATAAAATGTGAGAAAATTGTGAAATGTCCATCCGAGGAGACTCTAAGGTAATATCTTTAAGAGTTTACAGAGATATAAACAGAAAAAAGCAAAAAAATCTCTCATTGATGATTAATTTTCTGCTGATTGATTAATTGACTATCCGTTTCAGCTCTGGGTAACAGCCTTGTTTACTTGCTAGCACTCTTCTTCCCTGCTTTTGTTGGCGCTGTACAGCCATTTGTAGATAAGTGGAATAATGTGAAACTATTGTCAGGGATGTGATCACTGTCCCTCATTAAACAGCTGCTCCACCGACTTAAAAAACCTTTTTAAGACATCTAACAATCTGTTGTTCCTGCAGGGGTGGTGAATGTGATCCTGACCACTCCCATGTGGGTGGTCAACACTCGCCTGAAGCTGCAGGGAGCAAAGTTCAGAAATGAAGACCTCCAGCAGACCCATTACAGGGGCATATTTGGTGTGTAATATATGGTTTTAAAAGATCAGACCGTTATTTATTTATTTTTGTTTGTTTGTTACTGCACAGTTATAAAACCCTGCTGTGTTTGGGCTTTCCCTCTCAGATGCTTTCTCACAGATTATAGCCATTGAGGGTGTGGGAACTCTGTGGAACGGCACTCTGCCCTCTCTCATCCTCGTCCTCAACCCGGCCGTACAGTTCATGTTTTATGAGGCCATGAAGAGGAAGGCAGGGAAAGGAGGGAAGAAGGTGAGAAGGACACAAGAAAGACATTGTTGTGTAGAATACTATATTATCAAGGCTACAGTAATAAGTCAGCCTCGACTCCTTTTCAGCTGGGTTGACTCCGTTGTAGTCAAGGACTTGTGAGCTGAAATCAAACTCTGAACTAGATCAGTATATTTACCAAGTGGAAACAAGCATCGTCCCATAGAAGGGGAAAGACATGCTGCATGTTCTGTTTCTTTTTTCTTAGCTGCCTACAATTAATTGTGGAGAGGAAAAGACTATTAACTATAAAGAACTATATTTGATTTTATTGTTAAAGACTATTGCAGTTCAAAACCTTCAAGCCTGAATGGCTGTGCTGTGAAAGAATCAAACAAGACTCTTAAAGAGGCCATATTATGCCTTTTGGCTCTTTCCCTCTCCTTTTATTGAGTTATAGATCTTTTTTGTTCATGTAACAGGTTTGCAAAGTGAAAAAGCCCAAGGTCCAGCCCAAAGGGAGTTCCCATCTCTGACAGAAAACACTGCTTTGAACTGCCTGAAAACAGCTCATTTGTAGTCCAGCCTTTACTTGTGCTTTCTGGTGACGTCCCAAGAAAATATGCATCATAATGCTCGCCTTGCAGCTAGTCAGACACGCCCACGTCCCAGAGCTCAGTTATAACGTTATGTATGAAAGATACATTTGTTACAAATTAATAACTCACCACCCTGAAACTGTTGCTCCGGTCTATGTTCCTAAACTGGCAAGGGGATATACAGGAGCTGGTTATATAATTAGAATATCTTCAAAAAGTTGATTTATTTCAGAAATTCCATTCAAAAAGTGAAACTTGTATAATGTGTACATTCATTACACACAGACTGATATATTTTAAGTGTTCATTCCTTTTAATTTTGATGATTATAACTGACAACTAATGAAAACCCCAAAATCAGTATCTCAGAAAATTAGAATATTATGAAAAGGTTCAATATTGACATAAGACACCTGGTGCCTCACTCTAATCAGCTAATTAACTCAAAACAAAGGCCTTTAAATGGTCTTTCAGTCTAGTTCTGTAGGCTACACAATCATGGGGAAGACTGCTGACTTGACAGCTGTCCAAAAGACGACCAAGACACAAAAGGTCATTGCTAAAGAGGCTGGCTGTTCACAGAGCTCTGTGTTCAAGCACATTAATAGAGAGGCGAAGGGACGGAAAAAAGATGTGGTAGAAAAAAAGTGTACAAGCAATAGGGATAACCGCACCCTGGAGAGGATTGTGAAACAAAACCCATTCAAAAATGTGGGGGAGATTCACAAAGAGTGGACTGCAGCTGGAGTCAGTGCTTCAAGAACCACCACGCACAGACGTATGCAAGACATGGGTTTCAGCTGTCGCATTCCTTGTGTCAAGCCACTCTTGAACAAGACACAGCGTCAGAAGCGTCTCGCCTGGGCTAAAGACAAAAAGGACTGGACTGCTGCTGAGTGGTCCAAAGTTATATTATCTGATGAAAGTAAATTTTGCATTTCCTTTGGAAATCAAGGTCCCAGAGTCTGGAGGAAGAGAAGAGAGGCACAGAATCCACGTTGCTTGCTCCAGTGTAAAGTTTCCACAGTCAGTGATAGTTTGGGGGTGCCATGTCATCTGCTGGTGTTGGTCCACTGTGTTTTCTGAGGTCCAAGGTCAACGCAGTCGTCTACCAGGAAGTTTTAGAGCACTTCATGCTTCCTGCTGCTGACCAACTTTATGGAGATGCAGATTTAATTTTCCAACAGGACTTGGCACCTGCACACAGTGCCAAAGCTACCAATACCTGGTTTAAGGACCATGGTATCCCTGTTCTTAATTGGCCAGCAAACTCGCCTGACCTTAACCCTATAGAAAATCTATGGGGTATTGTGAAGAGGAAGATGCGATACGCCAGACCCAACAATGCAGAAGAGCTGAAGGCCACTATCAGAGCAGCCTGGGCTCTCATAACACCTGAGCAGTGCCACAGACTGATGGACTCCATGCCACGCCGCATTGCTGCAGTAAATTCAGGCAAAAGGGGCCCCAACTAAGTATTGAGTGCTCATACTTTTCATGATCATACTTTTCAGTTGGCCAACATTTCTAAAAATCCTTTTTTTTTGTATTGGTCTTAAGTAATATTCTAATTTTCGGAGAGATACTGAATTTGGGATTTTCATTAGTTGTCAGTTTTAATCATCACAATTAAATGAAATAAACATTTGAAATATATCAGTCTGTGTGGAATGAATGAATGAATATAATATCCAAGTTTCACTTTTTGAATGGAATTACTGAAATAAATCAACTTTTTGATGATATTCTAATTATATGACCAGCACCTGTACAGGTGAACCAAAGCCCTGTTTACCGGCTTCTCAGGACCCGCCCTACTCTGCTTCTGATTGACTAGTAGTCCTTAACTAGCAACTGCACATATGCAACTCCCAACAAAGATTTTATACGTAAGAGGCCTCACTCTGCAGCTTAAACGGAGCATTCAACACACAGGGTGAAAAGAGGAGCTGCAGCATTGTGCAGTATGATAAAAAAATATGGTGTTTTGAAACCATGTAAACCTGTACTGGTACAACCCCTAAATACAATTTTTAACCTGAAAATAAGCAAAATGTGACCTCTTTAAGGCTGTACACTCTTATGGTGCTTTCAGATCAAAAAAAAAAAGGGAGCGTTCGGGCGGTTAGTTTACATACAAAGTCAATGCAAAGACGCGTAGAGCCGCGATTTCCTGTCTGGCGGCGCGAAGCACACGAAGGGGGCGTGGCTGGCGACGTGAAGGCAACGCAAAGGAATTCGCGTGAGTTGAATATTTTCAACTCAAGCGAGAAATTCGCATGACGCTGAGTCGCGATAGCCTATCAACGTTGAGATTGTCCGTACGTCACCAACAGCTTCAGAGCGTTGTGTGGAGAGGACCAGGCAGAGCGGGCGATTGAAAATCTGCTGGGCGACTTAGAGCTGCTAAACTTGGGCTAGAGCAGCAGGGAGCAGCGCTCCAGCTTTCGGACAAATAAACACCCGTGGTCGGACTGGACTTTGCTCGCAAGTACGCCGTTTGCTCGTAGGAGGAGCTCGGAGTAAACTGCTTTTTATTAAATTAGCTTTTTACTTTAGTTTTTAGGATTACAACGTTGATTTATCTTCACTCGAGCTTCTCAGCAGCTAGATTCCGTGCGTCGTTTGGCACTACTTCATATTTATATAAAAACCGGACAAACTGGACATTGCTGGGAGAAAAGAAAGCGAGGAGGTTGAACTACCTGGTGAGTTCAGAAAACGTGTATGGAATTTATTCCAGCTATCGTTATACTTTACTGTGACCAAGTTAGCATAGCCCTGGTCGATCCGAACTCCATTCAGAAAATAAACATTTTAGAAGTTGTTGTCTTGCTGACAGACCTGACAAAGCATGAATTTGTTAAATCTTTGTCTCATACCACAGATTTCCTCAGCAGAAATCTTTCTCATTGGAGCCATTGCCAAGGCCATTGCTACCACCGTGACATATCCTCTTCAGACAGTTCAGGCCATCCTGAGGGTAGATACTGTGTTATATAAAATGTCTTCCTCTGTGTTTTTTTCTTTTCCGCACATTAGCTACTGTTGAAGGATAAGACTGGTGATATCTATTTTTTTTATTTTATTTTTTATTGTGAAACAAAGTTGCCAGACAACTATTTTCTTGGTCTGGACCATTTGTCCAGCAGCCAATGGAAACAAGTTTACTTGTCCTGACCAAGAAATCCCAGCATAAAATGGTGATTTGTCATTTTTAAACCTTGTTTTTTGTAGTTGATAATTGATAATTGATAATGAACATGGGCACTGTAGTTTTTTGTACTCACTAGTGCACTAAATGTGTATCAAATATATTGAGTAAGATTTGTTACAAACAGCGGCCAGCTGTTAGATGTTAGAAAAGTCCGAAAGTACTGAGAGATGGACTAGTGCATTGTCGGTTTTAGTTTTAGTCGTTTTTCCAGCCTTATTGTTTTTGTTTTGTTATTTTAAAAAATGTTTTTAATGTATTAAAATGTGTAAAGAAAACATTTTTTTGATGGCAAGAGAAGAAAAAGAAGCATTTTCATTAGAGTTTAGATTTCATTGGGAAAAAATATGAAATCCAATCGGAATGAACCTGCTTTGTGCTTTCTCATCAGTTTGGCCAGTACAAACGTGACGGTAAGGGCGGCGTGATCGGAAGCCTCTCAAACATTTTCTCCCTCCTCATGGACAGAATCAAGTGAGTGCAGCAGCTACGAACATGAACACACAATGAGATAGATTATCATAGGTGGTCATTAATATACATCTGTTCGCTTTGTTACAGGAGGTATGGTGTTCTGGGTTTATATAAAGGCCTGGAGGCCAAGCTGCTGCAGACTGTACTGACAGCTGCCCTCATGTTCGTTGTGTATGAGAAGATCACTGGTGCTACCTTCAAAGTCATGGGCCTTAACAAGAAACTGAAGCAGTGAATACACGCTCCCTTGAATACAGTAATGCATTAGTACCACCAGTATGTTCTGTCAACGGCTCAGATGATGTGCTTATTGCCAGGAATTGTTTCAGCCACATAAAGGTTGTAATAAGAGGTGGGATTGGTGCCTTTGGGGCCACAGATTCCCACACTTGCTTAAAACATACACAATAACAAGATCTGGGTGTAACACCTAATCCCCTTGCTTTCTTTAACTGGGTCCATTTGTGCAGACGGACCTTTGATTTTCTCCACTGGTGAATCCATGTTGCGATGGATCACAGTGATCTTGCAGGAGCTTAATTTAGTTTGATTTTCATACCAACCTTCTCATCAAAATCTTGGCAATAAAGTGAATGAGCTTTTTTTTAATTTTTTTTATTTTTTTCCAAAAGAGGAGACCAATAATTTAGCTACTTAGCGAGGTATTGCCTTGATCTAACTTAACTAGCTACTGGACCACTGTTCACACACTCTTATGTTATAACTGTGAATTTAAATGAGTTTGATTGAAACCCTCATGAAAAGTCCTGCCAGATAAATGTAATGAAATCAATAACTGAAAGGGAGAAGGTGCAGAGCTTGCATTCATATTTATCGATCTGTGTGTAAAATCTGCACCTTCCCAGCTCAGCAATGTTTTTATTTTAACATTTATATAACAATATTAGGTAAAATTAATTTAATATAAATGCCAATGAGCACTTAATCCATCAGTCTGAGAGTAAAGATTACATGTGTACAAATACTGCAAAAGGTGCTACATGCCTCTACATCTGATCATGAAAAACTGTACTATGAACTGATGTAAGTGCTTTAAAATGACTGTAAATGATTTACACAAACCCATGATCCACAGATCTCTATTGTCTTCATGATTGTATTGGTCAGTATGAGCATTTTGTCACACAGGTGTCTTCCATTATTTACCTCAGTGTCTTGTATCGTGTAGTCAGGGCTTGCAGTAATTTACAGTACTTGTAAAAATGTAGCTTTCACTTCCTTCTGTTTATGTGCACTTTAACTGTACTACAGAAACTAAACAGTAAGGTAATAAATGTCGGGGAAGGCAAAAAAATTAAGTCTTCCAGGAAAGAAAATAATATCTGAGGATAGCAGGTGTGTGACAAAGCAGGAAGCACTGAACAAATAAAATGTCAGGTGAGACTGGAGAACCAAATCTTTAATAGTTTAGGAGACCAAAGCTGGTGAATATGTTGCTGTTAGTTATAAAACAATGGCAAAGCAGTGACACATTTGGACAACAGTATGCTACACCATGGGTATTAATATCTTCTTCATAACTGCCTTGACTTTTTATTTGCTCCCAATGACAGGACATCACATTGCTGAAATGTTTTGTTTTAACAGTTTACATGAACATACTGCTTATACAATACTTGAAGTCATCTTCATTCAATTACACAACTTTGTTTTAACATATAAAGTCTTTTCTAATTTAATTTCATTTGACATAGCACTGTTTGTGGTTCCATTTATTGGAATAACAATGGAATAATAAAGTTTGACAAACCATATTCATATCAGTAAGTTTTTTAAATCACCACATGCAAGATGGGGGGAAAAAAATGCTTCAGTTCTTACTGCTTAGCAAATAAGAAATGAACAAAAGAAGTAAAACTATACACTTTAAACTGCAATGGAATAAACTCCATTGGAGGTCTGAATGAACTGTCCCAGTTGGTTGTCTTGGTTGTAAATCGGGACTACTGCCTGGACATCTCCTCCACATACCAGTGTGGCAGGAAGGAATACTGGGAGTCCTTGTGTATGGAGTAGGTCACATCTCTGTGGGGCTCAAAGGAGAACAAGTACACCACACTGGAAGAGAAACAATAATGACTCGTTACAACAGAGGGTTTAAAAATATATATTGGTTTAAAATTAAAAAAAGGTTAACAACATAGCATGTCATTACAACTCACCTTGGATTGTCTTCAGTGGCTACACTCTTCACAAAAGACAGGAAGTCACAGCAGAAGTTCATACAGACTGTCGGCTTCCAGCAGTTGTGTTCATTCTGTCCAGAAGACAAACAAAATTGTTTGGATTAATCTTGTGAGCTTTTATTTATTCGTGTCCCAGTTATTTATTATTTTTCCAGAATAGATTTTTCAGTGCTTTAGCTTTTGATGACCAGTACCTTGATGAGATGTGAAATCTTAGAGATGGGGAAAGTCTCCACAGCGACAACCACTCCTTCATGATCCCGAAAACCCGCCACAACACGGGGGACTCCGGGAAGAAAAGACTGGGCCCACCATTTCAGCAGTTTGAACCTGAGGACCACCACCACCAAAATGAGGGGGGAAAAATCACTTTGGCCAGCTGTGTGGGTAAATCCAATAACCAGCAGACACCATGAAGTGAAAAACTTTTCACTTTTTGTTTTAGTGTGTATGTTTTAGTGGCATCTAGCGGTGAGGGTTGCAACCAACTGCTTAGCCAGTGCTCCCCCCTCCCTTTTCAAGCAGTCAGGAGAAGCTACGGTGGCCGACACGCTCTATCGGCACTTGTGCTAAATAATATGTGTGGTCCTCCATTTGTCCAAATTTCACATCTCTTCTTACTTCTAAGAACTAGACAACCATTACTACTACTTTTTACATATTCAACATATCCTACTAAATACACACTGGACCTTTTAATTATGTGAAGCTTTACTGTTTTATCATCCACCTGTGTAAGTTGCTGCGCTGTTTGGGGGTGCAGATCTCTGCAGAGGTCTTGAGCTCGACGTAGCATGCAGGAGGAGCTGGAGCATTGGGATCTTTATCCCGGCAGTCCACCTCACCGGAGAATAAAAGTCTGTGATCTTCAAGCCGAGTTTGCACCACAGTGCAGAAGGCCTCATTAGTGTTAACCACACCGCCTGGGTCGGCTAAACTGTGGACGTTATCTGCAGGGATGGATCAAAGGTGAAGTGTTATCATTTACACATCTGCCTATCACCGTATGTGTCGAATGTAATATAATAAGACAGAGTGGTATGTATGGAAGCCTATTTCTGCCGGGGTAAAAAAAACAGTGAGGTGTGTTAGGAATGATTCAAGCGATGTCACAAGTTTGGCCATTTAAGTCAAATTTATGAAAAAAAGTTTTACTACTATATCAAAATGACCAAGGCATTCTTAATACTACTAAGTTAAAATGACACAAATCAAAAATAGCAGATACAAAGTCACAATACCAACAGATAAGTCACAATTTTGACTTTTTAAAATGTTTGACTACTACTTTACAATTGGAAAAACTTTGACTTTAGCTGTAGGTCAAAATCAAATAACATTTTATATTTTCAAAGGTCAAAGCTAAGAGATATAATTAATTAAGTCTAAAGTTTGAAATATTAAGTCATAATTAAGATAGTAAATCAAAATGATGAGACACTACATAAAAATACTGACTTGTTTATTATCAGAAGTTTTGACCTAAAAATTTCTTGACATCCTTAACATTTCTAATTTTGCTTGCTTCCATGTCCATGTTACTATTTTGAAATGCAATGAGTAATTTTATTGTTGTCATGGACTTGGTTGAAGACGCTGCCCAGTTCTGAAATGAAGAAGCCTCTTGGATGAGAGGTGAAATGTCTTATGTCGTATCTTCAACTGAGTCGAGTTGCCCTTGATTTTTACCCCTCTTGGATAAAACCAAATGTTTTTATTGTGAGGCTGTATGCGTGTGTACAGCCGATTTAAGGCTGATTCAAGATGATGACTGATCAGTAATTAAGGTTTGGGGAAAGAAAGTAAACAGCAGTTCTTATAACATTATTGTACAAACCTACCTGCACAGGTGTATTGCTCGAACTTGTATCCCCAGTACATCATCTCTTCATGCCTCCCGGTGCGGTTCTCTTGCTCCTTACGCGCAGCTTCTGTTTCCACTTCACTGATGTAAAGAGTGCCCTTAAATCTGGTGACCGCTAGCAACCAGCCCTCCCGTGTCTCATAGGGAGTGGTCAGCAGCTTGGTCAGATGACCACGCCAAGTCACAAAGTCGACATCTAAAGCACTGGAAAGAGCAGAGGATGATCAAAGAACACGTGTCCAACAGGAAACACTGTTGTGGTTAGGGGTGGTTGTTGGATTAGAGACTACAGATCATGAGTGAGTATCTTTCTGTCTGTGTGATGACCTGGACCTAAAAAAAGTAAACCAACGATGACACTTACCTTGATGAGGCCGTGGTCACCCTCGAGCTGAGCTTCGATCTATTGGCCAAGATCCAGCGTAGGATGTGGTCCAGCTTCTCCTTCACACTCTCGTCTCTTTTTATATAGCGGTCCTTGTATCCATCCCTCAGGTCAAAATTAGGATTTCTGTCAGGTTCCACGTAGTATCTCATCTGCCTGCTGTCATTGAAGAATCTACGCTCAGCATCGAGGGAAAAACAGCCCACTTCGACTGGCTGTTTGTACACAGGAAAGTCTCTTTCATATAGCTCCCGTCTGGTGCTCAAACCCCGAGAGCTGAGCGGGTTTGGCCCAGGAGTTGGCCCAGACTGATAGTGGTGGTTTGGTCTCAAGTGTTTATTCTCACAGTGATGTCTTCCACTGTCATCTCTTCTTTTGTATGCTGACTGCCGTATTTGGTAACTGGAGCTGGGATTGTGGGGTCTGCGTTGGTCCATCGCTGCCTACTGTGGTGGGGAAAATAGCAATGAAACAAACAGATGACATTGGTGATTACTCATTTCTTCTTGATGGTCTCCTGCAGGAAAAATCCTCTGCCTAATCATCATTGTAATGTCACTAAAGAGACAGCGCTAACCTTTGTTTTTTTATGCTGCTACTAGTCCAATAACTGTTTTATGCTGTGAACACTGCTATTTCTATATTGCAACTTCCTTAACTCCGCATTTTTATGTGATTATGTATCCCACTTTGTAGTTACAATTGTGTATTGTTTATACAGTACCTTTTATTTAAATTTTTTATGCTTCATACTAAACACAATAGATCCCCAGTTTATACTATACTGGTTTTTAAGATTACTGCATTGGATCAACAAAGTTTATCTTATTTAACCTTAAATATACCACAAATGTGTGTTTGTGAATGCATACATATATAGTTCTTTTTTATGTGAAGCTAAAACCATATTATTGTTATTTACATTGTTTACATTCTCCACAGACTTAAATTCAAAAAGTGCACTGCAGAATGTTCTGGGTGTATATGTGTCTGTGTATAGCCTTTGTATATAAATAACTGTGTATAGCCTATTGTTTTATTTTATTCATTTTAAATGTTCCAATATTTTAATACACAGTTAATTGTCTGTTATCTGTGTGTGTAGCATGAAGGGATTACATTTCGTGTCGTTATACAACCTTGTGCTGAATAATGACACATAAACAACCTTTTGACAGTTTGATACCTTGCATAATGTGAAGATAGACATTTGTATTGATGGCTGTGTAGAAGTGTTTGCAGCGTTAAACACCTGTGCATATAAATGAAGGTCTCTAAATATATATGTACAGTATTCGTTTCCTTGCCGTTATTATAAAAAATGTTTAGAATAACTAAATCACCGGTAAATAAATGAAAACCTACCTTATCCAGCATTGCGTTAACGTACACAAGAAAAGCAGTTAACGTTAGGTTTCTGTCAATGCCAAGTCAGACCCAATAAAAAACAGGACTTTGTGTAAAAACTATATCATATGTTTCATCCTCTTTACAAATTAACACAAAAAAGGTAAGAAAGAATACACAAAATGTGTTTGTTTTGCTAGTTGGGTAGCGAACTAGCACCCGAGGCTACATCCATGCTAACACCAAACCTAACGCTACTTCCGTATACAGTTTGTCATCCAATCCGTTTAGCGGCAGCCGAGACACTTCCTGTAAGAAGCTGGGTAAATAAAGAAGACTGTATAAGTTGTTTGTTGAATCTGTGAACATTGGGTGGTGTTGAATTTGACCACAGCGATGCGAAACCAATATTACTGCTATTAGTAGCTGTCAGGTAAGTGTTTTAACCCACTAGTTTTAAGGGTGTGTTTGTTTATGTGTTCAGTGTACACACAAAGTAGCGATAGCTAGCTGCATTAGCTTGGCCAACAAGAGAGACAACCATAGACTGGATGAAAGAGGAACCCAAATGATTGTCGTATAATTGTGTCTGTCATCAAAGTGAGTTTCGCAAGTCGGTTTGAATATTTTTATTTTTATAATACTTAGTGGTTAAAAACCTGAACGAGAGAAGGGGAGTTAGGTTTCTGCCGTGGACCTAAATTTGACCATGACATTTCATCCTGGTTGAAAAAACGCCAGTATCTCACAATTTATTCAGCAAAAGATGCCATCTCGCATAGGATGTGTGGAGAAAGTAGCTGTCTGGGAGACCAGATTAATTCTGCAAGTCTTGATTTATTAGTCTGATTTACCATAATTTCTCCTTCAGATATGAACAGAAAACGGGCTCTGATTTCAGACACTTTCATGGTGAAGAAAAGAAGAGATGGCACAACGAAGTTTGGGGCTGTCAGTGATGGAGATGGTAGGTGTGACAGCTATATAGCTAATTCTAGTTTTGTTGAAATCTCATTAAAGGGTGTAAACATTTCTTTGCCTAGAAGGACCGACTGACATCAAGTGCACCCTTGAGTACCTCATGACACTGTTTCCCAGGAAGCTCTTCAATGACACCTTGCCTCAAATTGTTCTTAAGCACCAACTCTACAGTATACACAAAGACAAGACTTTGGTGGACAAGGAGCTGGTAAGTGGTCTCTTTAGTGTCAGAAAGGTCATGTGTTTCTCTCTCTAAATGTGAAAACACAACCCACGGCCCTCCTTGTGGTCCACAGAATAAGCTGCGGGAACAAGGAGAACTGCTGATGTTCCAGCTCGGGTTTGACGCAGAAGCTTTTGGGCTGATTTTTGCTTCAGATTACAAGGCCAAGGTGCTGGCAGGGGAGGAGGGCAGAGCGACACAGGCGACTGTGGAGAAGTTCTTGGAGAAAGTGGTGTCGTCTTGCACAGATCTGAGCTTCAGCAAAGACAAGATACTCAGGGAGTTCCACTTCACAGACTCGGAGATAACGTATGAAAGACTCCCAATTGTTTCTTGTTCCGTTTTACTCCTTTGTATAATAATGTATCAAAAATGGGAGGTTCCTTCCAAACTGAATTGTTTGACAAACTTCACACCTAGCTTTAAACAAGATTGTTTGAATGACACTATAACATGACTCAAAAATCATTACGTCATTACAAATAATGCTCAAACGTATTTTGCGCTTGAGTAATAGCGCAGAACCAGAACACCAACCATGTTATAGTTTTACTAAATAGCTGGAAAAGCTGAAACAAAATGAGTTTTAATACTTTAGTTATTTGATTTTTATTTTTTTAAATGGCTTTAATTAATAAGTATCTCCTGTTGAACAGTTTGTTAAAATAGTTACTTTTTGAAACCTCAGACTTTTCAAAGATCAGCACATAATATTTTCCCACCATGTAGGCAGCTGGTTAAGTCAGGGGTCCTGACAGTGAGGGACGCAGGCAGCTGGTGGCTTTCCATTCCCAACTCTGGCAAATTCACCAAGTACTTTATACAAGGTGGGTGTTAAGAAAAGCAGAGACTCAATGATGTTTAAGGCTGTTACATGTGCATTTCTCAAAGTGCCTTGCTAATTGGAAGGACTGTTTGTTTCTAACCAACTTACCGGTTTTCCTGTCAGGCCGTAAAGCAGTGCTCGGCATGGTGAAGAAGTCCAAATATAGTGAAGTCTTAAAGGCAGAGCTAGAGGAGCGGCGCACAACGGCGCATGTGAAATTCCACATGAAATACCACATCCATGACATTGTTGGTGCAGAGCTGGTAGAGAGGTAATATTTGGTTGTATACAGGTCACACTCTGACAAGATTCCATGTTAAATTGTGTGTTGTGGTCAGAAAATGATGGAGTATGATTGCTTAAAATCAGTTTTTTAACAATGACATATTGCTACTTTGTAATTTATTGAATTAAGTCCGTTTCCTTCCCAGCATACCGACAACTTCAGGGACACTGTTGCGATTTGTCAATTCCTGAACCGCAGCAACAAGACTTACATCGGTGTTTGGTCGAAGCCAGTGAGCGACCGAAGATGAGAAATGCATAAGATGGTCAAAGACTGTTTGTAAGAGGACAGAGTAAATTAATTTCAGATTTAGGTTCTGTGCCAAATGTATTATAAAACCTTGTGGGTTTATGAATTGTCAATGATGTTGACATGACCTTGTTTGGTTTGTCTTGTAATAAATATTCAAAGTTTCTTTGCGTCATACGTGAGAGTTATGACTTGTGTGCACTGATACAAATGTCCCTCTGTGTGATGTTTGAACTCAAGCTAACCTTTGCTATCTGTAACCAGTGTGCACCACAACTGACGGACAACAAGTAGCCCAGTCAGTCAAATCTGCCCAACTGTCATAAAAAGAGCTGATGCTTTATTTCAGATGGCCAGGCCACTTATACTATTTATTACAAGCCATTGATATATATATATTATTTTCAGTTGTTGAAAGGTGTGAACAGAAATGTTTATATGTAATTTCTTATTTATTTTATTAGCCACTACATTTTGGAATGAAATATTGTAGTTTTACTCCACTACAATTACTTGACAGCCGTAGTTACTTTGAAGTGATTTTGTTTTTTGATCTTTATTTAGTTTAGGTAAGTTACATAGTTTAAGTAGTTAAAACATATCTGAAGTGGGGATAGGACAAGAAAAGTTATTCTAACTTATTCCTACCCCCTTTGAACATGACTGTTATTTGAACCATCTGCAGATGATTTTTTTTGTTGATTATTTTTATTCAGTTTTTGTTGTCTTAACATGTTCAATAAAGAGTTGAAAAAAAAAAGATCTAGATTAATACAAAATATGGATCAACTAATACATTACACTATTATAGGTTAAGCTACCCAGCAGAATATAAATGAATTAATATTAGCTCCAACGATTCAGCTGTAAGATGAAAATGTACACATTGATGCATCAATAATTATAATCCAGTAATATTTTCTGAAATGGGTTATTCTGATTAACTAGGACTTTTGGTACTTAGTTGATTTTGATACTAATACACATTTTGGAATACAGGACTTTTACGTGCAACTTTTTTTTTTTTTCCTTCACACTAGTACTTATACCATAATTAAGTAAAAGATAGGTCTAGTTCCAGAGGAGCTGTTTCATTTGCAAGTTTCTGTCACCGAATTTAATCTGAAACCTCCAATTCACCCTTTGCATCTACATTTTACAGTAAAGTCTAAGTGAAGCGTTAGCTCTATTTCACGCTTCAACAAAACAGGTGTCAGTCAACCCTTATTTCATATTTTTATGTTTGTAGTACATGTGTTGCATCAGGAAAATGGAGTCTGCACTTTCAAACAAAGCAGCAGAATAGTATGTTTTAATTGAATTTATTGGCTTTTTCAAAAAAGTGACAATAGCTTTTTATCCATAAAACTAAAGAGTCACAACATTGGCTTGAATTAAAGCACAGCTTGATGTCTGAATACAATACAGATGAGCAACATGTACTTAACCCCTGATCTAGTAGTTCAAATACATTTTGTAAATAGGCAAAAAATATAACCGTAGCGATTCTAATCTTAGTTTTCAGTATATGTTGCACATACATGCTATCAGCATTAATTACAAAAAGCTAGGCTTGTAGGGAGATTAAGGTAGCGTTAACTGTAGAGGTAATAAACAAAAGGATATTCATAGTGTTAGTTTGACAATACAGTGAGTGAAGTGTAACTTCTGTGAAGAAAGATACAAAATAGTCAAATCACATGATTATAACAAAAAGGATAAGTACACTGTATACTACACCATAACTGACAGTAGCTTTGTTACTGTTATTAGCAGGCATTAATGCTCTTCTTAGTGACATTGCTTAGCCAGTAGTGATGCTATTAAAAATCAAAATGTGCTGCACAAAAGGTTTCTGATAAATGCCCACAGAGCATGAAAGGTGCTCTTGTTCCCCGCCACCAAAACACCTAAACAGTTCTAATCCAATATCTAATAAAGTTTTCAGCTTTGCACTCCTGGGCAGCTACACAGGTGAGACACTTCTAGGGGAAATATTGCAGAGAGGGAAAAAAATAATAATTAAGATAACAATACCTTAAACTTGACAGGTCCAATTGGAGCCACACACATAAAATACTGGATCATTTAGATTTTTGTCCAGGAATTAATAGCACTGTCGGTGTCAGAAGATCGGTTCCCTGTCTCAGGCGTCAGTCAACCCGCGAGGATGAATCAACATAAATCATGTGCTAGGAATGTAAGCTAACCGACTGAAAACAACTAATTTGAGGCAGAAAGAACTTCACAGGTGGTTAGTTCAAGTTCCTTGTCGACAGTGCCATGACACACGACGGCCCCTCGCAAACAGTGAAACTGAAAATTAATAAAATGCCATTGATCACTGAGCTGAACAAACAGCAGCACAGGACAGCAAACTGTCAGCGGTATTTTGAAGGTTTGAGACAATGTAACGAAAGGTTTTTCTTCTCGGCTAAAACATACAGCACGTCTGCAGAATGTATTTGGCAATATTTCTTCCACTAAAAACAAGAGTGTAAACAAAAATAGGTTGACAACCAGTGGAAGAACAAATTGAAAACATTCCACAGTCCATTTTACAAAAACATCCAATCCATTTTAGAAGGCCTCGAGAATTTCATTTCACTTGTCTATACAGTATATGTTGTAGGGAAAGAACTAGGGTCTATAACCTTCCAAC